AAATTTCTCTCTCTCTCTCTCTGTGTGTGTGTGTGTGTGTCTGATGTGTCTGTCTCTGCTGCAATGGTACAGGGACCTTCTATATTACACACTGGATATTCAGCCAGTGTAATCACCATTTTTTGAAGTACCAGGGATTGAACCCAGGAATTGCTAGGCAAGTGCTCTATTGCTTGAGCTATGCCCAAGACCTTTTGATTTTATTTTGTTTTTGAGATAGGGTCTTGCTACCTTTGTCTGGACTGGCCTTGAACTTGCAAAACTACTGCCTCTGCCTCCTGACTAGCTGGGATTACAGGTGTGTACCACTACACCCAGCTAGTATAATCACTATTGTACTCATGTGACAAATATCAAACCCTGCTATAACTCAACTCTTTAATAATTTCCTACCTACATGCACCACATGCCATGTTAATCGGTTTCATGGCTGTTGCCTTCACGTGACCCCTGTGGCTGCCTGACTCTGCTACCATATTCCTCCAATCAGTTTCCTCTGCAACCCCTAGACAACCATTTCTCCCCACTGCCAAATCTCTATCCCCCACTTGTACCCACAAGCTCATCTGATGACATTAGTCCCTATTTCACTCAGACAACAGAAGGAATCAAGAGAGCAAGCACTGTCCCCAGCAAATCTGTTCTTACACTGTGCCTTCTATGGTTGTGTATTCATCCAACTTCCTGCTGCCCCTAGAGGCTTTCCTGCTGTGGCTGCTCTGTCACAGTTCTGTCAGCAGGTGGCAGAGAGGAGAGATGCTTTGTCTATGCTCAGTGTTTTTTGACCCATGAACATTTGAGTAATTAGTAGCCTGACATTTAAGTGTTCTAATACTGCCTATCTCTAGCAACAAAACCTTCCCTTGACTCCATACCTATGCTGCCACTTTTGTGCTTTCTTTCACAGTAGCAAAACTCTTGGAAGATGTGTGAGACAGTCTGCCACCACTTTCTTCCCTCTCATTCCCTTTTTAAATCTGTTTCTATCAGGCTTTGGGCTGAACCAATACACAGAAATCATTGCTGTCAAGGTTATCAGTGACTGTCACATTGCCCCATACAGTAGATATTTCTCTGTTCTAGCTTTGCTGCAGCTCTCAGCTGCACTTGACACAGACCATCACTTTTTCTAAAAACTCCCCTTCATTTGGCCTCAGGAAAATAAATGTTAGTTGTCATACTATCTCTTCGGTTGTCTTCTTAGCGTTTTCCGTTGCTTCCTCCTCATCTTCTGGACTTAGTTATCTAAAGCTTTGTCTCTTTTGTGGTTCCATCCAGGAATCTGAGTGACATTCTATCCTTGAATTATAGCATCCACATTTCTATATCCAGTTCCAACTTCTCCCCTGAGCTCTACCCTGTCCAAACTGAGTTCTTTAAAAAAAAAAAAAAAAAAAAGAATGCCTTCAGTAAAATGCAAAAATCTTAAAAAGAACTTCCCCTGACATAATAATTGTTCCTACTTGTGGTGTACATTGTGGTATTTCACTACATGAGTACAATGTGTAATGGTCAGAACAAGGCAATTGCATATTCATCATCTCAAATATTTATCATTTCTTTGATGGGAACATTCACAATTCGCTCTATTAGATATTTTGAAATATTCAATTCATTGTTGTCCACCATAGGTAGCCTACTGTGCGAGAGGACATTAGAAATTACTCTTCCTATCCACTTGTACCTCTGTGCCCATCATTCATCCTTTCTCCACCCCCTATGCCCTATCCCCTTTTCCAGCCTCTGGTAAGCACTAGTCTGCTCTCCACTGCTATGAGATCACGTTTTGTAGTTTCCACATAATTGAAAGCATGCAGTATTTGTCTATCTGTGCCTGACTTATTTCACTTAACATGCCTTCTAGGCTTATTTATGATGCCGCAAATGACATAATTTTATTCTGTTTTTTATGGCTGAACAATATTTCATTACAAAGCAGGATATGGTGGCTGATGCCTGTAATCCAGCACTCAGGAGGCTAAGCCAGGTGCATCATGAGTTGAAGCCCAGCCTGAGCTGTGTGTGTGTGTGTGTGTGTCCCTGGTGTGTATATGCCACATCTTCTTTATCCACTCATCCACTGATGGATTCCATATTTTCGTATTGTGACTATGGGAGCACAGATGTCTCTTTTACTCAGGAATCTCCTTTCCTTTGGATATGTACCCAGTGGTGGGATTGCTGCATCAGATGGCGGTTCTATTTCCAGTTTTGTGAGGGGCCTCTGTACTGTGTTCCATAGTGGCTGTACCAGTCTACACTCCCTCCAGCAGTTATTGAGATCTCCCCTTTCTCCACACATCCCATAGCACAAACATGAATGCTTTGGGTTTGGTAGTCTGGGGTTTGAACTCAGGGCCTTCTTGCTACGCAGCAGTCAATCACTTAAACCACATTCCAGCCCGTTTTTCTCTAGTTATTTTTCAGATAAGGTCTTGTGTTTTTTGCCTAGGCTGGCCTTGGGTAAAAAACACAAGACATGTACCTCCATACTTTGCTTATATGTTGACATGGGATTTCACTAAGTCTTTCCCTGACCTGGTCTTGAATAACAGTCCTCTGTATGGCCACCTCCTGCGTAGTTAGGACAATAGGCGTGGGCCACCACACATGGCCTCAAACATGAATTCGTGATGCTCTCCAGAGCTTATTTTGTCTTTCTTTCTCCTTGTGGCAAGTTTGCTCTGCAATATCCTCAGGCTGAATCCCCAAAACAATCCTTTATACCTCTTTTTCTCCTGGATGATCAATCGGTGAATAGTGGATTCTACCTAATAAAGCATGTAGCCCCCAAATGGTCATCTCCCGCCTAGACTATTCCACGTGCTCCTCTACAGGCTCTTCTTTTCAGCCTCCAGACTACAACTGAGTCCAGACCTGGAGTCTCTCAGCTCACTTTCTTACCTGTATTTTAGGTTCTAGACTCAATATACCACCAGTCTCCTTAACTTTAAGTTAACAAATATTAAAAACCCTTTTTGTTTAAATGACAGGTGGTTGACATTGCTGTATTAGCAGATATGTTTAGCAGATTAGAATCTGGAAGGAAACAAATCAAACATGGACACCAGATGTACAAACCTCTCACAAGCAGTCACACAGGGCAGAGGGTTTCTTAGAGAAGCCACCAAAGGATAAATATCGGTTGTAAGGGTTTGAGAAAACACCCAAGTGGGAAAGCTGCTATGTGAAATCAATGTGGCCCCATCATGTGACACTGTTTTACTTTTGTCTGAGTTTTGTTTGTTGCCTGGAGATTATCTCCAGTGAACATGACCAGGGCTTGGCACAGAGTACTTGGTTCCATCTCTACTCAAAGAATTACTTAAGACACAAAACAAGTTTCACTAAGCAATGACTAGAGGTTTTGTTGTTTTGTTTTTTAATAAATAAGCCAACCCGAAGTCTCAGCTTTTGTGACTCAGAGTGAATTTATTTTAGGGGCGCTCAGAATGGAGATCGTACATCTTTAAAATGGATTTGTGGAAGAGGGAAGCACAGGGTGAGTAAGTGGAAACAGTGATCTGATGACATCACACGGGATGACATAGTTCCTGTTGCAGCTTTACCATTGACCATTCCAAGTGGCAGTAAATAGGACCTATTTGTAGGGCTGTTGAGTGTTAAATATGAAAATTTACAGAAAAGTCTTTAGGGCAGAAACTAGATGTACATTCATCTATTTTGTTCTCATGATAATGGTTATATTAGCTGTATAGTGGATCACAAATCCACTCAAACCTGATATTGAGTTTGGGTGATCCCTAACTTGAATCTGCTCCCCATACATATTTCACTCGAAATACCCACTGCAACATGTTGCCTTTGATGATCTTAATTTACTGCCATTCAGAGGCTTCCCACTTTGGCTTACAGCTAATAGGAAGTTAGTAAGGGGATTTCATGGTCTAAACCTATTTATTACTAGTATAAACCCAACTCAGCAGCTACACTGTTTGCTGTGAGCACTGGAGGGCAGGGACTGTGTTACTGAACTTTACACCTCCTAGGGTCCAGCAGATCTGGCACATAACAATAACAAATGACTAACACACACTGCCCATGCCAACTCCACAGTGAGCATTCAGGCTACCATGCCTTGGGCATATAGGAGCAGGTTGAGAAGTGTTCCCAGAGGTCTCAGAGGCCTAGACCAGAGGGTATCTCAACTTCCTAGACTCCCAACAAACCAAGCTTCACAACAAAAAGAAAAAGCAATGGCGAAGAAAGGAATTCATTCATTAAAGCTGTATCGAGAGACAAGGGGGACCACGGGACTCCAGCCCTATCTTCAAAGGTTCTGACATGAGCTACAGTTTTCACTAGGGACAGGATTGGGTGCGGGAGAAATCTCCATCTGGTTGATTATGATCTCAGGTCCGGTTCTGTGAGAACTGGAGAAGTCCCTGCGGCTAGAGGTCAATTCTGTCCTGAGATGAGATGATTGCTCCTGGCAGAGGGCAGCCTCAGTTCCTGGCAGAGGGTAATTGCTCCTGTTTAGGAGGCTGTTCCTTGAATTTTGTTACTCTCTTATTTCCTCCCTGGTGCTTTCAGTCTTAAAGGGAGACAAGAGAGATTAGGTAAATTTAGGGCCACTCAAGCCTTGTATTACTGGTTTGCGAACAGACATTCTTCGGTGATTAATAAGCATGTGTAGAGCTGTTCAGGATTCGGGCCCAAAGTTTTGGGTAATAAAAGGAGTCAGAAGCGAAATAAAGATAGAGATGCCAACCTTTTGTTTTGCTGTTAGTGACCCTTGGGCATCTGCAGCCCCAAGCGAGACTCCATGCTTTCAGCAACAGCGGTCTCTAGTGCTCCTTAGAGGAGCACGTGCACAGAGTGCTGAGTCCCTTCCAGCATCTGCAAAGGTAGCAGGCAGCATGCCGGCGTCACTCCCAAGCTCTTGCTGGGGTACAGCAACCCAGCCGCGCGCGTCCCCTGGCGGCAGAGCCGGGAAGGGAAGGGACGGCAGGGCGGGGAGGCGCGCGGGACCTGGGGCGGGGCCTCTCTCTGCCATGGCGGGCGATGAGCCGGGCTTCCTACAGGCGCTGCAGCCTAAGGGCCGGCCTGAGGCGGTGCAGACGCGGGTGCAGGCCCAGGACTTAGGGCAGTGGGGCCTGACAGGTGAGCGGCGATGCAAAGTCGGCCTGAGCTCCTGGCCCCCCACGATCGTGTGTCCCCCCAGGCCGCGTCGCCCTCTTGGGGTGTGGGCCAAGGACCGCGCGGACGCCCGGTGGGGGCAGGTCAGGCTCTCTCTCTGCTTAAACTCTGCAAACTCCCTGCGCAGCTTCGCCCGCCCTTTCCGCCAGCCGCGCACGCGCGGTTTCTCGGCAGCGCTGCGGGGTCCTTGCTCCGCCTGCTGTTTCCACGTTTGTTGGCTCGTTGCCGGAGGTGCGGCAGATCGAACCCACTTGGCCTTCCAAGCGCGGCGTGCCGGTCGCCAGGTGCTGGAGAGCCCCCCGCGTCCCGACCTCCTCCTCCTGTCTTGCCGGAAGGGAGCGCGCACCTGCAGAACGCACCGCTTAAGTGTCACGTACTGGATGCAACCTAGCACCGTCAGGTTGTTGCTGCAGACGTGAGCAGAACAAATAGGGACCCAGGGTTTCTAGGCGCGAAAACGAGTGCTTCAGAAGTGTCAGGAAGTATTCCCCCAACTCCTGCTGTGTGCCCACAACCTGAGAGCTTGAGGGTTTGTTCTTCTGGGAAAGAAATAGCTGCAGATGATGGAGAGGCGGTCACGCAGGACAAAAAGGCTCTCCTGAGCCGACCAGTCTAGAGCAGCGTGTGTCCAGTGTAATTGATGGGCCGGCCTTTCTGGGTCAGCTTATCTTATGGAAAGTTTATAGGTTTAAGTGCTTACCTATTTCCTTGCAAATGGCGTTGGGAATGGTACTTTGAAAACACAAAGAAAGTGTGTGTGTGTGACAGGGCTCAGGTTGTGTGCATGTAGATGCCCAGCTGCGGATAATACACCAGAAGAAGCCTACATGAGGAAGTGTTGTTTTAATGAAGGTGAGGAGGCAAGAGGTTGCAGGGTTTCTTGTTTTTAGTTTGGATATTTAAAAAGCTTATTTTAACTAACCCACAGACTAACTTCTGAGCTCCGCGTTGATTTCTTTCCAGCGCCATTACCCTCTCGCATGGTAATTTTTTCTCTAAAGAGCCTATACCTTTCATCATGATGAACATTTTAAGTTGAAATTGCCAATGCAATACTCAGAATGTAAGTTTATTCAACAAAGCTGACAAATGCAGTACACAGATGAAAAATGCATTCACCTAAACAACAACATTTGTCTGTCTACAAAGTTCAGTGACTTCAGTTTTCACATGCAGAGGTTCTAACAGGAATATAGTAGCAGTGTTTAGATGAACAGTCTCACAGACACATTAAGGTTTCACTTTAGGTTAATTAAGGAACCTGTGCAGTCCCCACACAGCCACACATTCTAGTTCAGTCCCTGGCCTTAGGCGCAAGCACAGTGAGTTTTAATGACTGGGAACTACAGTAACAAGTTTAAATATTCCTTCATTTACAGAAGCACCCATCCCTTCTGGGGAGTATAAGAGGCCGCAAATTAGAATGGATGGGATAGAGTAAATGCAGAAGTATGTAGTGGAGGGAAAGAAGCATAGAAAATAAGTAAAGCCAAACAAATAACTACTAAATATTATAATTTGAAATTCCTATTTCCTTTTGCCAGAATAAATTTAATATTCTAAATCTATTCTTTGTGAGTCTATTTGTTTTTTTTGTTTTTTTTTTCTTTCTGCAGGAATAGTACATGTTTCCTGTGAAACATTTGGGGAAATAGCCGGTGCCTAAAGAAAAGAAATTTTAATCTCTGCAGTTCTATCACTGTTAACATGTTTCCTGTTTTGCCAGTCTTTGGTCTACATTCATGTGAATTGCTTGTGTCTGTGTATAACTTCCTTTGGGAGTTGGGGCAGTGAAAAGTGGAGATTCCTGTACATGTGTTTTTGAGATCATAATTTTGAATGATTTCATATATCCATGGTCCCAAGTTTAGGTAGCATTGCAAAGGTATTTACTTAGTTTTTTATTTTATTTTGCTATTATAAGTCATAATGATAAATACCCTTATAAGCAAATGTTTATTATAGCTGTGGATATTTAATTCTTCAAAGGCAGCATTTCTAGATCAAAGAGTTGGAAAAATTTTCCCACATTTCTTTGCAACACTGGTACTTTCTAATTTGAGAAGTTAAAACTGCTGTTTTCTTGTTTAACTTCATGCTTATTTGGCTCCTAGTACTGATGGGTACCTGTTTGTTCATCTTTGGGTCTTAATGGTTCTTTAGGACTTTCTTGTTTTTGGAGTATGCAGATCTGACACCTCAGGCTGTTTTGTTTGCTTTTTCACTACTTATCATCTGTCTGAGAGTGGCCCGAGAATCTGAGTCCTGGAGGTTACAAAACAGAAAGTACATTTCCCCATACTCCCTTCCAAGCACTTGACTGGAAAAGGCCACAGACAATTTGAGGGAGGTTTGGGTTTTCTGCTCCCCTCTAGGCCACTACTTTGTGGGTCTTGGGTAGGATATAGGGCATCTGTTTGCTGGCCTGGATTGCAGTGTGAGGTGACAGGTGCCTGGAGCTGCAAGTGCAGTGGCCTCCTTGGTTCCTGCTTCCTGGCCATGGAGATAGCCAGGACCTTGGTGGACAGGTTCTGTGCTGCTGGTTCAGCCAAGGTACCTGAAAGTCTTTCAGTTATGTGGTGACCTAATTCCCTATATTAAGTCCTCTTCTACAGATACTACTTAGGGTCCTTTCTATATTTGCAGTTGCCTCTTAAATGCTTTTTTTGTGGATGTAATTTCATATCATTTTTAAAAACTGAAACTTTTTATCATATAGTATTTATAGATTCCCATGCAGTTGTAAGAAATAATATGGAGAGATACTATGTAATCTCCACCCAGTCTTCCCCAATAGTAACATCTTGTAAAATGGGATAGGATAGCCCAGACACTGATGTTGACATGGTCAAGACCCCAACATTTCCATCCCCAAGGACCCTGCAGCTGCTCTTCGATATCTGTACTCACTTCCCTCTCTGCCCACTATTTCCCTAACCCCTGGCAACCGCTAATCTTCTCTCTCCTCCCCTCGACCTCCTCTCCCACTTGTCCTCCCTCCTCCTCCTCCTCCTCTAGTGCTACCTAGAGATTTTCTTGGCAGTGCTCCTGAACAAGGCCTTGAACGTACTAGGGAAGCACTTTGCAAGTAAACTATATCCTCTGCCCAGGCTTCTCTATTTCTGTAGTTTAGTCATTTTGAAAATGATATACAATTACTATTACACAGCATGTAAACTTTGGAGATTGCTAATATTCACTCAGCATAATTCTAGCAATAGTTTGTTTCATCTTATTGTTGAGTGGGATTGCACAGTGTGGGTGTGGTACCACTGTTTACCCACAGGATATCTGGGTTGTTTCTAGTCTAAAGCTGTTGTCAAAAACAAACAAAAAAGATTTTATAAACATCTGTGTTCAGGTTGTGTGTGAAAATAAATCTTCATTTCTCTGAGACAGTTGCCTAGCAGTGCTGTGGCTACGTCATGTGGTAGTTACATATTTATCTTTTTTTTTTTTTGGCACTACTGGAGTTTGAACTCAGGCCTTATACTTTCTAGGCAAGTGCTTTACCAGTTAGCCATACCACAATCCTTTTTGTTTTTTGGGTTTTATTTGTTCCTGAGGTTAAACTCAGGGTCTTCAACTTGCTAGGCGGATGCCCTACCACTTGAGCCATACCCCAAGCCCCTTGTATGTTTAAATTTTAAGGAAACTGATGGTCTGTTTCCGGGAGGCTGTACCAGTTCTCATTCTTACCAGCAGTTTTTGAGTGATACAGTCTTCATCCTTGCCAATATTGATATTACCACTTTTTTGTTTGGGCTAATTCTGATACATGTCTACTGATATTTTATTGTGGTTTTAATACAGATTCCCTTATGGCTATGATATATACATATGTATTTATATATATGTGTGTGTGTATACAAAATTGTATATTATATATTGTATATAATAGCTATAATATATATGGATATTATATATTTATTCTCTTTCATGTTTTTTGCTCATTTTTAATATTTTTTTCCCATTGATGGTACTGGGATTTGAACTCAGGGACTCGTGCTCACTAGGCAGCCCACCTATTGTTTGAGCCACTCCACCAGCCCATTTTGCCCATTTTTAAATTGTTGGGTTTTGTTTTTGGTTTTTTGGTTTTTTTTTTTTTTTATTTTTTCACTATTGAGTTTTGAGGGTTCTTCCTATATTCTGAATAGTACGATTGTTCATGGATATGAGGTTTGCATGAGAATTAAGTTTTGGCTAAAGGTTGTCAGTCTATCAATTTTTCCTGTTACGATTTTTTGTTGTTTTTTGGCATCAACTGTAAGACTGTGTCTGCTCCTAGATTCTAAAGAGTTTCTATTTTTTGTAAAACTTTTATACCTTTACAATTGAGTCTGTGGCCTATTTTGAGTTAATTTTTACCCTAAAAGTTTGGGTGTGTTGTGTTTTCCTTGAGTTCAGTGTGGTTGTTCCCCTGAACTTTGTCATCAGAGAACACACTCTGTATGGTTTCAGTTTTCTTTTAAGTTTGTTGAGTTTTGTCTTAAGGCCTTGGGTATGTTTTATGTTCCATGGCCCTTGGAAAGCACATATATTCCACTGTTGTTGGGTGTCAGCTGGGTTGCAATCCTTTCCAGAGGCACTGGGAAAGGACATATTTCCGTCTTTCCTGAATCCAGACACTGCCCACATCCTTGACTTGCCAGGGCCCCTGGCCTCCATCCTCAAAACATCCTCTGTGGTCATTGCCTTCTCTATCCAGAGCAGGTAAAGGGTTCCCTCCTCTAAAGATGCATGTGATTAGATTGGGCCCACCTGGATAACCCAGGCTGGTTCAGGGTAATCTTTGCGTCTCAAAGCCCCTAACCTTAATTAATACCTGCAGAGTCCTGTTGCCAGATAAGTTAACACACTCACTGATTTTGGGTCAGGACTTAGACATTTTTATGAGGCCGTTGTTTTGCCTGCCACTCCATCCTTTTACTTTTGACCTACCTAGTTATGTTTCTTGCCACTGTTGAACACCCTTTATGAAGTGCCACTTCCATTCTGAGTGCTGCTTCTTTGTTGAAGCATAATTTAGAGTCGTCCTGTCTACATTTGCCCCTTTAGTGTGGATGGTGCAATTAAGCACAAGTACAATCCATGTGTTGTTTGTTAAGTTGCATCAGTAATGCCTCATTTCCAGGAATGGATACTGGCATGAGACTCAGACAGTACAGAGGCCAAAACTCAACTTGACTTTCTCATCTATTGAGTGGATTAGTTTACAATGACAGGCTGTCTTAAACGTCACATGAGTGTCTTATGGTAGCTACATCTGCTACAAAAAGGTTTGGAAATCAGCAAATGTTTATATATTTGGAAATTGTCAGCCAAAAAAAAGTCAGTAAAGTTTGGATTTTGGGTATTTAAACCATGTTCTTCATTCAGTCTTAGAACTTAGCCCGAGTATCTGCTGAAATGTCTACTCTTTGGATTGGCTGTATTTTTTATTTTTAGGGATTCATCTTCACCCTTATCAGCTGGAGGGAGTCAACTGGCTAGCCCAATGCTTCCATTCTCAAAATGGTTGCATCCTAGGAGATGAGATGGGACTCGGTAAGACATGCCAGGTACGTTCTAATTGTTCATCTCACTCAAATACCACTTCCCAGCTCATTACTATCTTTAGCTGCTAGCTACAATATTTTTATATTAGGATGTGAAATGCCTGCACTTTTAAAGTAATTGTAACCTTGGAAGTGATTCTGCTATTTGTGGAGGGAAGGTTGAGTTATGACTTGTATCTGTGAGAAGCCATGCCACATTAGATGTCCAGCTAATGGGTCCAATCCAGGGCTTTTCTCTATATAAAGCAAATATACCTGCCCAAAGATCAAATTGACTTTCACCTCCTTAGCAATGCTTTATGTAGTTGACTGAATCTCCCTTCCTCAGTTGGAGTGGGTTACTTCCTATTTCTCTGATGTGCCAGAGATGTGCAGAGAAGTACCCTACGTTTTCCAAAATGACTTGGCCATCTACTGGCCTTGAAAGGAGGCCATATAAAGCCTGGAGAACCAGATGTGGCCTCCTTGGGCATTGTTAATCAGGTGGTGTGTTGAGATTGATGCTTCTGTCAAGATGATCAGCAGTACTGCTCTAGGTTGGCAGGTGTCATTGATGGGCGTGTGTTAATGGAAAGTCCAGTCACTGCACCCCTTTTGTAATCACACAGGGTTTATTTAAGCTGTAGGATACCTGAGGAAGTCAGTACAGTCAGGATTCACAGCCTGGGCAAGTTGATCAGAAACCAGGGAGATAAATCCTACCCCCAGTGACAATACAGAATGAGTAAGGATCTCATGAGTCTTTCTAGAAGCTCAGCTGCCCACTCCAAGGCTCACTGTGTGTGAGTGTGTGTGTGTGTGTGTGTGTGTGTGTGTGTGTGTGTGCACTTTAGGCTGGAGCAGTTCTGCATGTAGTGTAGTCTGACTGTATTTTGGAGACAACTTTGTTTTAGCCAGGAATACCTCATTAATCTCAGTTACTCAGAATTCAGTATGACCTCTGATGGAGCTTGTTGAGAGGTTTCACTTTTACCCCATGGCTTTTTCAGGCAGACAGACCTGGTTCTAGTAGATTCCTGAACAGAGAACTGGGAACTATAACAAAGATCAGTTTCTTTAGAAGTAAAGTTAACAGCCCTTGGACCAGTAACAGCCCTTCCCTATAGCCAGTGTGCCTCAGTCATTGGAATTGCCCTGCTCACTTCATTCAGAGCAAACTAATGCCACTTGTCCTTTGCTTTTTCACTATTTTGATTTCTCTCAAAATTCAAATTTGTTTTGAATTTTTTGTATCTATGTCATGAAGGATATTGGCCTATAATTTCTTTTCTTGCAAAATTTTCCCTGGTTTTAGTATTGGTTTAAAGCCAGGCTCATAGAATGAGAAGTTTTATCTCCCCTTCAGTTTTCTGAAAGAATTCATATAGAGTTGACATCATTTCTTCCTTAAATGTTTGATAGAACTTACTAGTGACTCCAGATTTCTTAGTAGGCGTATTTCGCTTATGGAAATAAAAAGTAAACTCTCTCTAAATTGTATTCTCAGAGAAAGCTAAACAGAATGGTTTTGATCCAGTTTAGTCCTAGAGGGTTGCTCTGGGCACAGTTGGGCTAGGAAGCTATAGGTAATTTAAAACATGTTTCCATTATAAAGTTAATAGAGTCATATTTTTTAAATTACCTGCTACTCTGTCATCATAGCACTCTCACCACGGCATGAGTAGCAATGTTTGTTTTACAAGGTTGATAATTATAGTGTTCATATAGTCCATATACTTTGTATATTGTTAATCTAACTCTGCCAGTGTAACTTTGCATTTTATTATGTTCTACACAGTCATGTTCTACTGGCTACATTAATCAAGAGAATTTATTGTAATTTACTTAAATGTTGCACAGATGAGGAATGGTGAGTTCCCTACTTTTTATGCTATTTAAGTTAATCTTGACATGAACATCTTTGGGCATATACATTTCTCAGGATTTTGAATTATATCCTTAGGATAGATTTTTCTCAGATATAACTCAGCATTTGGGGATGGAGGCTCCTCGCACATTTTTGTTTTACAAAGATTTTTTTTTCTGTATATCATACCAGCTACAAATCATAATTGTTTACAGGCATCTCCTGAAGAATCCCCATTTGGCTTCATAAAGACTTTCATTTTATGCCCTTCCTTCAGCTTGTGAGGGTAATGTATTGTTCATTTTTCCCACTAGAATGTGTTCCAGGAGAGCAAAGGGTTTTGTCTGTTTTATTTCCTGCTGTATAACTGGAGCTTAGAAGAGTACCTCACCAATAGAACACACTGTACAAATACACATGGAAGATAGGAAAACAGTAAGGGAAGGAAAAAGGAAGTTGGGAAGGGAGGCACAGAGGAAGAAAGGAATCATCCCCATCTATGAGCATCATGAGCAGTGGAGAGCCACCTTGCGTGGATCATGTTCACAGTGTTGCTTGGCACTTCATGCTTTATGTTTTCAGTTTCCTGATCTTGTCTATCAGGTGAGTTGTTTTCATTGATTTCCAATTTACATAAATATGGAGCCTCATTGCTTGATAACTTCTAAAGTAACTGAACACCATAAATTCCTTTGGCAACTTTACTGAGGCTTACATGAATTCTCTCTGGGAATGAATTACTCTCCTAATGTGTACAAGACTGTACATCATTTCTAGCAAAATAAGTTGTATATAAGAATTTGTGTTCTCTGTGGTTGTGGGCACCTTGTGGTTGTTTCTTATGGGGAGATGTGATCCAAACTGGCTTCTTCTTCTGGGTTCCAGACTATCGCTCTCTTCATTTACTTGGCCGGAAGATTGAATGATGAAGGACCATTTCTGATTCTTTGTCCCTTGTCTGTTTTGAGCAACTGGAAAGAAGAAATGGAGAGGTACAGAATAGATCTAGTTGAAATTTTATTGTTTATATTGATTAAGATAGTTTTCTGATGATGTGTAAAATGTAACAGTAACTTGTCACGATCGATGAGGTTCCTTAGTCTAGAAAGCCCTGAACTGAAGCAAGGTAGGTAGACACTGAGGATGTGATGGGGGAGGTCTGCTGGATGTTATTGCTACTATTTGACCGTTTATTTTTTTATTTATTCATTCATTTATTTACTTTGTGGTATGGGAATTGAATCCCACAACCTCGTACTGGCTAGGTAAACACTCTACCACTTGGTCATGCTCCCAGCCCTTTTGCTTATATTTTGTTTTTGAAATATGGTCTCAATAACTTTGATTGACCTGGAACTTGCCATCCTCCTGCCTCTGCCTCCCAGGTAGCTGGGATTATGGATGTGCACCATCATGCCTGGCACAATTTGGCAATATAAAGACCAGTTCTCTTTTTTAGTAAATTTTGTTGAACTAAAAAAGAAAATAAACCTCTTGTGGTTGTACATGCCTATAATCTCAGCTACTCAGGAAGCAGAGGCAGGAGAAGGGCAAGTTCCAGGTCAGCCTGGGCAAAGCTGGTGAGACCCTATCTCAAAAGGGCTACCTAGCAAGTAGTGCTAAGGCAAGTTCAGTCCCCAGTAGTGCAAAAAAAAAAAAAAAAAAAAGAGAAAGAAAGAAAGAAACCACTATTGTTTTATAGTGAAATAAGAAATAACTAACATTTAAAACACAGTTTAAGCTTTAGAGTCAGCCACGGCCCTCTTAGATCCTCCTACCTATTTACATGGTACCTTACCCTGAGGTTTAACTCTAGATACTTTTGGAGCCCCAGGACTCTCTGGTTGCAAGTCCTGTTGGGGTATACACATTGCAACCCTTCTATGAAATGTAGTTTTCCAGATTTGTACACCCTGTCCCATGGCTCTAGTGTTTGGACTCATCTTCCTCTTTTCTTGGATCCAGATTTGCTCCAGGTCTTTCCTGTGTAACATATGTAGGTGACAAGGAGGAGAGAGCGCGCCTTCAGCAAGACCTAAAGCAGGAGTCAAGTTTTCATGTGCTGTTGACCACCTATGAGGTATTCCTTCCTTCCTTTCTAGAAAGAACTCCCAACCTGGTTCCTTATAAGGTGTTGAAGTCTCTGAAATTTCATTTAAAAAGTTTTTTTGAGAGCACATGTTTTTCTGGAAAGAGAGTCTACCTTCACAGTCTCACAAAGGGGCTGTGACACAAAGAAGGAAAGACTCATGGTGCATCAAGTTAGCGAGGCACCTTTCCTCTCTTTCTTGGTAGATTAACCAGGTGGCTTCTTAGGTTAGTGGCCCTTGAGCCACCTCTTAGCTGATGCACATGGGACAAGGATCATGTCCTGAGGGTTCACATCTGCTAATTGGAACAGAGGGATGGAGGACGCTTAGCTCCAGTCTTATTTTAAGTCCTTGTTCTTTAAGCTAAGACTGGGTAACTAAGACCTTTCACTCAATCATGTCTTCAATTTGTAAGATAGTGCTACAAAAAATTATGATCAGAACTTTTTTTTACATAACAAACAGGTCAGACTTAGATAAATGCTATAATGTAGTACATTAATAGGAAACAAGCAACTAGCTTATCATCTCAGAAAAATACCATTTTTAATTGTCTTCCTTAATTTTTCAGATTTGCTTAAAAGATGCCTCCTTTCTGAAATCGTGAGTACACTGTATTACTTCAGAAACTGTTGAATGAATCATGAAAGTTGTGTCTTTCCTTCACACTGGTACTTTGCATCTTTCCTGATGTGTCTGCTGTGTCTTCTATGAGTCCTGTTTGTGAACTGGCAGACGTGGCTGGAGCCCTGGATACTAGCCCTTTTCTCTTTATCTCTGAGTCCTTGACTTATTGATCTCTGTCAACTTTGCTTCTTCATCTGTACAATGGGATTATTAAGTGTCTTACCTTTGACAGCTGTGGGAACTGAGATGAAACATACATGGATGGTAGTTAATAGAGACTAAATTCTTAACACTGAAACTTGCACAGACAACTTTCAAGACTGTAGCTGGGAGATTTTATTCTATACAAGGTGAATCCTGTGAGCTTTTTCCTGGAAATAAGCTAACGTTGCAATCAGTGTTATAAAATTAACTTTGTAAAAAGGGAGTTTGAAGTACACTTCTAATTCCTTAACTTCTGGGCCTCGTTTTGGCTCAAACCCAAGCTCTTACTACCAGCTAATAATAGGAATGGCATGTTGCAATATATGATAATGTCAAGACAACAGTTATGATGTAATTTAAAGACTAGTCAGGTTTTGGGGAGAGGAATTAGGAAGATGTATGGGCAGGGTTTCATTCTCCATGACCCATGTAGTTATGACGTGGTTAGGTGGGGGTTCTGCATCTTTAATGTTCAAAAGTTTTTGTTTTCAAAGTACTTTATCAATATCTTAAATGTTTTTTTTTCCTCAGCCAGATTTTTGTGAGTGCATATCTGCATTCCTCTAATTTTGAAATCCTAAAGACTAGGTCATAGGTTTTATTACTTCTGTCCAGTATTTTGTTTTACTTGTTTCATTTAAGTGAGCCTGTTACCTTGCTTTTCATGAGAAGACTGTATGCTTTCCCTTTCTTTTTTCTTTTTACCCATTTCTTTTTATTTATTATTTTTTGGCATTGCTGAGAATCCAATCCAGAGCTTTGCAAATGCTAGACAAGTGCCTACCACTGAGATACCCTTCCCAACCCTTCTTTTTATTTTCTTCTTTTTTTTTTTAAACAGTACTTGTGCTTGAACTCAGGGACTTGTGCTTGCTAGGCTGATGCTCTCCCACTTGAGCCAAGCCCTCAGCTCTCTTTTTATTCTTAATATCTAATTTAACATTTGTTGTTCTCTCACTGGAAAAGAACTGTTCTGAGAATTATTGGCAATACCAGGAAAATAAGTCATGCAGCACCCCTAAGAAGAAATAAAATGCAGTAGAGGGATAAGAAGCACCAGATACCCACAGAGCAGGGCAGTCTCAAAAGGCAATAAGATTAGAATGTAAATGTTCTTGAATACTTTATATAAATCATCCCATAAATTTCTTGAAAACCGTATTAGGCAGGTATTATTAACTTTACAGATGAGGAAAATAAGAGGTTAGGCAACCCACTAAGGCTAATTCCTTTCTTTCTTTCTTTATATTTTTTAGCAGTATAGGTTTTGAACTCAGGACCTTGAGCTTAGTAAGAAAGTGCTCTGCCATGTGAGGCATGCTCCCAGCCCTATTTGCTTTAGTTATTCTTCAGATAGGGTTTCTAATTTTTTGTCTGGGGCCAACCTGGACCTCAATCCTTCTACTACTGGCTTTGAACCACAATCATCCTGCTCTCTTCCTCCCAAGTAGCTGGGATTACAGACATAAGCCACCTTAATTTCTTAATAAATGGCAAAGCAGACTCAGTGCTATGGAGCCTCTTTATAAGATAGCTTCTCAAAGTATCTAAACACACTTGCATGTCATATCATTCAGCAGAAATACAGTCATTTTATCTCAGATCATCTCTTCTTAATGCATTTCTTGGTGGCTTGAAGAACCTAAGTCACAGAGGGACATTTATATTATTAACTCATAGTTGAAAACCCAGCAACATAGATGTATTTTTCAATATGTTTATTAAAGTTACATTGTCTACTTCTGTGTTGCACATTCCAAAAGCAGTAAGGAAACATAATCTCTGCACTAAAGTGATTTATTATGGACAGTGAAGGCTATGATGTTAACAATATAAGAAATTTGAAATCTTTTGGACACTAGATTTGGAAAATCTTTGGATTGAGAGAATTAGAAGTTCTCTTGGATTCTCATTCACTGTTGGAACTCCATTCACCTCTTTCTTTCCAGGGAGCACCCTTTAGATTGTACTTTGATGAATGATTCTACCCACTTCCTTTTATTGGTCTACAATCCACCTTTCTTGGAAAAAGCATTTTTGGATCTGTGTATGTAAAAACCTAAGTGTCCTGTCCTTCATGAGGTAATAGAATCTAACCTGTTTTGAATGGCTCTGTACTACAGAGACACAAAGCTTATCTTGACTGCTATGCACCCTCACTCCTGTTGTCCTTACATGCATACTCTTGTACTATCCTGGGACTTCCTGTGCTCTCCTTGGACCCCAGTTCTTCCTCTGCCTGCACCAGTCTCAGCAGGTGAATGGTAGCAGGATGCACCTATGATCTCATCTGTCCTCTGAACTTTGCATAGCTTCAGAGAAGGAAGGCTTCTCTGCACAAGCTCTGCCTCTAATTTGGGGGGAATTTTCCTACCATAACCTCTATTTCACTTGTATTATGTATACTTAGTTTTTAAACATAAAGCTAGCATAGTGCTTACAAACAAAATTAAGGTTAAAAAATCTTTAACTTCTGCTGTTACATTTTGTACAGTTTTCATACTTTACAAAAGGACATACACTATTTATATCTTTTTGAGTTTTTATATAGTCCCTGTTTATAGCACAATCATATTTTTCAAATGTTGTAAAACCTGGTGTGGTGGAGCACACATGTAATCCCAGCTACTCGGCAGGCAGAGGATCTGAGACTGGCCCTGGTCTGAAAGCATGAAACCCTATCTGAAAAATAACTAAAGCAAAAAGGGCTGGGGTGGGGGTGGACATGGCTCACTTGGTAGAGCACCTGCCTAACAAGCACAGGCCCTGAGTTCAAACCCCAGCATATTTCCTTACCTATTATTAGATATTTAGGTTATTTTCAGTTTTTTTTTCTGTTTCAAATTAATAACTCTTGGAACATCCATGCATATGTTTTCTATATTTTGGATTTCTTTTTGGAATAGCATCCCAAGTGTCTATCAAAAATATGCTTTTATGACTGGAACTTCTTGAGAAATTGCTGTTGTAACTCAGTTCACTCTAAAGTATACTTTGGCAGTCACCATGACCTCTGTGTTCACAGGTTCCTCGGCCGTGAACATCTGTATAATATTTGATCCTATTCACCATGTCCCCATTTTAAAATCCACTTTTGTTTTTTTTTTGGTGTGCTGGGGTTTGAACTCAGAGCCTCATGCTTGCTAGGCAGGCACTCTACCACATAAGCAACTCCACTAACCCTGTTTTGTGTTGGGTATTTTCGAGATAGGGTCTCTGAACTATTTGTCTGGGCTGGCTTCAAACCATGATCCTCCTGATCTCTGCCTACCAAGTAGCTAGGATTATAGGCTTGAACCACTATCCCCCAGCAAAATTCCACTTCTTTAACTATTGTGATACCCCTGTCTCTTAATCTGGTGAGTTTGAAACTCAGTTCTGTCTTTATGACTTCAGTCAAGTCACATAACCTGTCTGAACTTTAGTTTCCTTGTTGGCTGAAATATGTCTGCATGCCATATTCTTTTGGACTAAATAACACATAGACACAAGCCCCACATAGTAGAGGCTTTCTATCTCCTTCCTTTCTGTGTAGGTTTTTCCTACCTTGGAAAAATATTTTCTTTTACTACCTTATCCAGATGTTATTTTATGCATATGGTTGCGTCTCAGATATAGAGGTAGTTCAGCTGTGTTTTTAATATGCTAGGTTTACTGTTAGTCAACAATAGTTGCAATTTTGATTGTGGGATACTCATTTCAGTTACACGAAACTGAAAGCTTGGTGTTTCTTGCACAGCTTCTCTTGGAGTGTTCTTGTTGTGGATGAAGCTCACAGACTAAAAAACCAAAGCTCCCAGCTACATAAGACACTTTCAGAGGTAAGCTTAGTTTTTATATACTCTCCCCCCTTTATAATAGACTTTGTTTTTTAGAGCAGTTTTAGGTTCACAGCAAAATTGATTGATACAAAGATTTCCCATATTCCCTTACCCCTTTCCATATACAACACCCCATTATAAACATCCTCCACCAGCACAGTAAATTATCACCCAGAGTCCATAATTTGTGGGTTCACTCTTCATGTTGTAGATTATGTGGGTTGGACAACTGTGTAATGATGTGTACCCACCAAGATAGGGTCTTGCTTTATGCCTGGGCCAGCCTGGACTGCTGTTCTTCTATTTGTGTCTCCCACAAAGGTGGGATGACAGGTGTGTACCATCACACCTAGCCATTGCTTGGCCTCGAACTATGATCCTCCTGATCTCCTCCTCCCAAGTAGCTAGGATTATAGGCTTGAGCCACCAGGCCTGGGTATAATGACTCTTTTTTTTTTTTTTTCATTTTTCTTTTATTATTCATATGTGCATACAAGGCTTGGTTCATTTCTCCCCCCTGCCCCCACCCCCTCCCTTACCACCCACTCCGCCCCCTCCCTCTCCCCCCCGCAATACCCAGCAGAAACTATTTTGCCCTTATCTCTAATTTTGTTGTAGAGAGAGTATAAGCAATAATAGGAAGGAACAAGGGGTTTTGCTGGTTGAGATAAGGATAGCTATACAGGGCATTGACTCACATTGATTTCCTGTGCGTGTGTGTTACCTTCTAGGTTAATTCTTTTTGATCTAACCTTTTCTCTAGTACCTGGTCCCCTTTTCCTATTGGCCTCAGTTGCTTTAAGGTATCTGCTTTAGTTTCTCTGCGTTAAGGGCAACAAATGCTAGCTAGTTTTTTAGGTGTCTTACCTATCCTCACCCCTCCCTTGTGTGCTCTCGCTTTTATCATGTGCTCATAGTCCAATCCCCTTGTTGTGTTTGCCCTTGATCTAATGTCCACATATGAGGGAGAACATACGATTTTTGGTCTTTTGGCCAGGCTAACCTCACTCAGAATGATGTTCTCCAATTCCATCCATTTACCAGCGAATGATAACATTTCGTTCTTCTTCATGGCTGCATAAAATTCCATTGTGTATAGATACCACATTTTCTTAATCCATTCGTCAGTGCTGGGGCATCTTGGCTGTTTCCATAACTTGGCTATTGTGAATAGTGCCGCAATAAACATGGATGTGCAGGTGCCTCTGGAGTAACAGTCTTTTGGGTATATCCCCAAGAGTGGTATTGCTGGATCAAATGGTAGATCGATGTCCAGCTTTTTAAGTAGCCTCCAAATTTTTTTCCAGAGTGGTTGTACTAGTCTACATTCCCACCAACAGTGTAAGAGGGTTCCTTTTTCCCCGCATCCTCGCCAACACCTGTTGTTGGTGGTGTTGCTGATGATGGCTATTCTAACAGGGGTGAGGTGGAATCTTAGTGTGGTTTTAATTTGCATTTCCTTTATTGCTAGAGATGGTGAGCATTTTTTCATGTGTTTTCTGGCCATTTGAATTTCTTCTTTTGAGAAAGTTCTGTTTAGTTCACTGCCCATTTCTTTATTGGTTCATTAGTTTTGGGAGAATTTAGTTTTTTAAGTTCCCTGTATATTCTGGTTATCAGTCCTTTGTCTGATGTATAGTTGGCAAATATTTTCTCCCACTCTGTGGGTGTTCTCTTCAGTTTAGAGACCATTTCTTTTGATGAACAGAAGCTTTTTAGTTTTATGAGGTCCCATTTATCTATGCTATCTCTTAGTTGCTGTGCTGCTGGGGTTTCATTGAGAAAGTTCTTACCTATACCTACTAACTCCAGAGTATTTCCTACTCTTTCTTGTATCAACTTAAGAGTTTGGGGTCTGATATTAAGATCCTTGATCCATTTTGAGTTAATCTTGGTATAGGGTGATATACATGGATCTAGTTTCAGTTTTTTGCAGACTGCTAACCAGTTTTCCCAGCAGTTTTTGTTGAAGAGGCTGCTATTTCTCCATCGTATATTTTTAGCTCCTTTGTCAAAGATAAGTTGCTTATAGTTGTGTGGCTTCATATCTGGGTCCTCTATTCTGTTCCACTGGTCTTCATGTCTGTTTTTGTGCCAGTACCATGCTGTTTTTATTGTTATTGCTTTGTAATATAGTTTGAAGTCAGGTATTGTGATACCTCCTGCATTGTTCTTTTGACTGAGTATTGCCTTGGCTATTCGTGGCCTCTTGTGTTTCCATATAAATTTACAGTAGATTTTTCAATCTCTTTAATGAATGTCATTGGAATTTTGATGGGAATTGCATTAAACATGTAGATTACTTTGGGAGTATCGACATTTTTACTATGTTGATTCTACCAATCCATGAGCATGGGAGATCTCTCCACTTTCTATAGTCTTCCTCAATCTCTTTCTTCAGAAGTGTATAGTTTTCCTTGTAGAGGTCTTTCACATCTTTTGTTAGGTTTACACCTAGGTATTTGATTTTTTTTGAGGCTATTGTAAATGGAATTGTTTTCATACATTCTTTTTCCGTTTGCTCATTGTTAGTGTATAGAAATGCTAATGATTTTTCTATGTTGATTTTATATCCTGCTACCTTGCTATAGCTATTGATGATGTCTAGAAGCTTCTGAGTAGAGTTTTTTGGGTCTTTAAGGTATAGGATCATGTCGTCTGCAAATAGGGATATTTTGACAGTTTCTTTACCTATTTGTATTCCTTTTATTCCTTCTTCTTGCCTAATTGCTCTGGCTAGGAATTCCAGTACTATGTTGAATAGGAGTGGAGATAGTGGGCATCCTTGTCTGGTTCCTGATTTTAGAGGGAATGGTTTTAATTTTTCTCCGTTAAGTATAATGCTGGCTGTAGGTTTGTCATATATAGCTTTTATAATGTTGAGGAACTTTCCTTCTATTCCTAGTTTTCTTAGAGCTTTTATCATGAAATGATGTTGGATCTTATCAAAGGCTTTTTCTGCATCTATTGAGATGATCAAGTGGTTTTTGTCTTTGCTTCTGTTAATGTGGTTTATTACGTTTATTGATTTTCGTATGTTGAACCACCCCTGCATCCCTGGGATGAAGCCTACTTGGTCGTGGTGAATAATCTTTTTGATGTGTTGCTGAATTCGGTTTGCCATTATTTTGTTGAGGATTTTTGCATCAATGTTCATTAAGGAGATTGGCCTATAGTTCTCCTTTTTGGAGGTGTCTTTGCCTGGTTTTGGGATAAGTGTAATACTGGCTTCATAAAATGTGTTTGGCAGTTTTCCTTCCCTTTCTATTTCATGGAACAGTTTAAGGAGGGTTGGTATCAGTTCTTCTTTAAAGGTCTGATAGAATTCAGCAGAGAATCCATCAGGTCCTGGACTTTTCTTTTTGGGGAGACTCTTGATTGCTGCTTCAATTTCATTTTGTGTTATAGGTCTATTCAGGTGATTAATTTCCTCTTGGTTCAGTTTTGGATGATCATATGTATCTAGAAATCTGTCCATTTCTTTTAGATTTTCAAATTTATTTGAATATAGGTTCTCAAAGTAGTCTCTGATGATTTCCTGGACTTCCATGGTGTTTGTTGTTATCTCCCCTTTTGCATTCCTATTCTACTAATTTGGGTTTTTTCTCTCCTCATTTTAGTCAGGTTTGCCAGGGGTCTATCGATCTTGTTTATTTTTTCAAAGAACCAACTTTTTGTTTCATTAATTCTTTGTATGGTTTTTTTGGTTTCTATTTCATTGATTTCAGCTCTTATTTTTATTATTTCTCTCCTTCTATTTGTTTTGGGATTTGCTTGTTCTTGTTTTTCTAGGAGTTTGAGATGTATCATTAGGTCATTGATTTGGGATCTTTCAATCTTTTTAATATATGCACTCATGGCTATAAACTTTCCTCTCAAGACTGCCTTAGCTGTGTCCCATAGGTTCCGGTAGGTTGTGTTTTCATTTTCATTGACTTCCAGGAACTTTTTAATTTCCTCTTTTATTGCATCGATGATCCATTCTTCATTAAGTAATGAGTTATTTAGTTTCCAGCTGTTTGCATGTTTTTTGTCTTTACTTTTGTTGTTGAGTTCTACTTTTACTGCATTGTGGTCAGATAGTATGCACGGTATTATTTCTATTTTCTTATATTTGCTGAGGCTTGCTTTGTGCCCTAGGATATGATCTATTTTGGAGAAGGTTCCATGGGCTGCTGAGAAGAATGTATATTGTGTAGAGGTTGGATGAAATGTTCTGTAGACATCTACTAGGTCCATTGATCTATTGCATATTTTAGATCTTGGATTTCTTTATTGAGTTTTTGTTTGGATGACCTATCTATTGATGATAATGGGTGTTAAAGTCTCCCACAACCACTGTGTTGGCGTTTATATATGCTTTTAGGTCTTTCAGGGTATGTTTGATGAAATTGGGTGCGTTGACATTGGGTGCATACAGATTGATGATTATTATTTCCTTTTGGTCTATTTCCCCTTTTATTAGTATGGAATGTCCTTCTTTATCTCGTTTGATCAATGTAGGTTTGAAGTCTACTTTGTCAGAGATAAGTATTGCTACTCCTGCTTGTTTTCGGGGGCCATTGGCTTGGTAAATCTTCTTCCAGCCTTTCATCCTAAGCATATGCTTATTTCTGTCGGTGAGATGAGTCTCCTGTAAGCAACAAATTGTTGGATCTTCTTTTTAATCCATTTTGTCAAACGGTGTCTTTTGATGGGTGAATTAAGTCCATTAACATTAAGCGTTAGTACTGATAGGTATGTGGTGATTCCTGCCATTTAGTTGTCTTAGTTGTTTGAAGGTTTGATTGTGTGTACCTAACTTGATGTTACTCTCTACTGTCTTGCTTTTTCTTATCCTGTGGTTTGGTGCTGCCTGCCTTTTCATGGTTAAGTTGGGTGTCACTTTCTGTGTGCAGATCCCTTGCAGAATCTTTTGTAATGGTGGCTTTGTGGTCACATATTGTTTTAGTTTCTGCTTATCATGGAAGACTTTTATTGCTCCATCTATTTTGAATGATAGCTTTGCTGGGTAGAGTATCCTGGGGTTGAAGTTATTTTCATTCAGTGCCCGGAAGATCTCACCCCACGCTCTTCTTGCTTTTAATGTTTCTGTTGAGAAGTCTGCTGTGATTTTGATGGGTTTACCTTTGTATGTTACTTGTTTTTTCTCTCTTACAGCCTTCAATATTCTTTCCTTAGTTTCTGAACTTGTTGTTTTAATGATGATATGTCGTGGAGTAGTTCTATTTTGATCTGGTCTGTTTGGTGTCCTGGAGGCCTCTTGCATCTGTATGGGAATATCTTTCTCTAGATTTGGGAAATTTTCCGTTATTATTTTGTTGAATATATTGCACATTCCCTTCGCTTGCACCTCTTCTCCTTCTTCGATGCCCATGATTCTCAAGTTTGGTCTTTTGATGGAGTCAGTGAGTTCTTGCATTTTCTTTTCACAGGTCTTGAGTTGTTTAATTAATAGTTCTTCGGTTTTTCCTTTAATTACCATTTCATCTTCAAGTTCTGAGATTCTGTCTTCTGTTTGTTCTATTCTGCTGGATTGGCCTTCCGTTTTGTTTTGCAGTTCTGTTTCGTTCTTTTTTCTGAGGTTTTCCATATCCTGGCAGTTTTCTTCTTTAATGTTGTCTATTTTTGTCCTGAGTTCATTTATCCATTTATTCATTGTGTTCTCTCTTTCACTTTGGTGTTTATACAGTGCTTCTATGGTTTCCTTTATTTCTTCTTTTGCTTTTTCAAATTCTCTATTTTTATTGTCTTGGAATTTCTTGAGTGTCTCCTGTACATTTTGGTTGACCCTATCCAGTATCATCTCTATAAAATTCTCATTGAGTACTTATAGTATGTCTTCTTTTAAATTATTCTTGTGGGCTTCATTGGGTCTTTTGGCATAGTTTATCTTCATTTTGTTGGAGTCTGGATCTGAGTTTCTGTTCTCTTCATTCCCCTCTGGTTCCTGTACTAATTTTTTGCTGTGGGGAAACTGGTTTCCCTGTTTTTTCTGTCTTCCCGTCATTGTCCTTGGTGTTGTTACTGTCCCTGTACTGTGTGTAATTAAGTATTTTCTAGCTTGTAATAATAACAATAATATTTAGAATGGAAGAGTAGCTGAGATGGAAAGCAAGAAGTTAAAGAAAAGGGGAAAACAAATATCAGACAAGAGGGAGAAAGCAGAACAAGGTATCAGACAAGAGAGTTTCAAAGGTATAAACAGGGAGTGTTAGTGTACTAATCGACAGTAAGCTGAACAGACATTAGAGAGACAGAGAGAGGATTGAAAATCAAAGATAAAAAAATAAAAAATAAGTAAATGAAAGTAATATCTATATATAAAAATGAATTAAAATAAAATGGAAAATAGAAAATTAAAAAAAAAAAAAACCAAAAAACTTCCAAGTTTATATGCAATGCAGTTTCAGTCTTAATAATTTGGTGTCCGTCTCAATCTCCAGTCCTGGAGTTGGTGCCTCAGATGTTGTTCTGTAGTTGTCTCATCAAAGGGGATGCATAAAGTAGAACAAAACTACACACACACACACACACACACACACACACACAAAAAAGCCCCACCAAGTGTCCCCAGTTCAAATGCAATACAGTTTCAGTAAGTTTTTCGGCTTGCAGGTGTAATTCAGTTGTTCTCTCATCAAAGGTAGGGAGAAAAAGAAAAAAAAGCGTCTGGAGACAGTTCTGAGAGTGGTATCTGCAACTGTGGCTTGCCTGCCTGCTGCTCTCAGCCTGTAGCTGGCGGCGTTATTTATGCAGATCTCTGGGGTGAGCTAGCACTCACCTGGCCCCACAGGCTTTGTTTGCTCAGAGTTCTCCTGTGCGGGGGCCTCTGCTACAGGCTTTCCCCTTTCCAAGCACTGGGAAAGGTGACACTGCCCCGCGTTGTCAGGCCTGTGTGTTTATTTACAGTTCATGTGGGAGGTGGGTCTTCCCCCCTCTCCTGTGCAGTTTTCCTCCCACTGCCACTTTCAGAAGCTTTCCTGCTCCTGCTTACTGGGCGGTGCTGCTGCTCCTGCCGGCCGCCATGTTTGTTTACAGTTCACGTGGGAAGTGGGTCTTCCCTCCTCTCACAAGCTTCCCCACTCCTGGTTGCTGGGTGCGCGCCCCGCTCCCGCCAGAGCCTCTCCTGCCCACCCGGCTCGTTTATGTACAGTCCCTGGAAGGATTCCCTTCCCCCATTCTTCAGCACTCAGGGCGCCCCACCCTCTTTCCAGCGTGTCTTAACTGTTCTTACTGCTTATTACTCAGTTTCTCTTTTTTTCCCGGTGGAGGTCAGTCTGTCCAGGGGGCTATGCTGCTCTGGCCCAGGCTTGTCTGTGGGGCTACCGCGGTACCGCGAAGCTCACCTGGTCTGCGTCTTCCCAAGCCGTATGGGCGCCGGCCACTGGCGGCCCCGGGGGCCCTCCTCGTTTCTCCGTTTAACATGAAGTGGAGATTCTCTGTGCCGGCTGGAGATGTGGAGGGGTCAAAGTTGTGCCTTTTCTTGGTGATTATGCCTGCAAAGTGTGTCTCCAGCGTCTCTCCAAGATTTCACTATAGGAGGGTCGCTTTCTGCTTCCTACCTCTAGCCGCCATCTTGGAATTCCTTCATAATGACTCTTTTAAAAGGGCCTTGATACCATTCACAAGGGAAGAGTCTTTGTGTCCTAATCCCAAAGGCTCTTACAGACTTGCCTCTTATGACCATCACATTGGCAACCTGGGTTTTGGAGGCAACACAATCAAAACTGTAACAATCTTTGTCTTCCTGGGCTCTATCCTTATAAAAGTCTGCTTCATAAAATAAACCAGTATACTAATATACAGTGGGAGAAGAGACACAGGTGTAAAAGAACTAGAATTTGAGGTGGGGATACTGAGTTCTGTTGCAGTCTTCTTCAAAGCCATTTCTTGTTCAGAGGATGACATGGGGAGATTGTTCCGGTCCTCTCAGCTTTCCTTTTTAGGTAAGGTTTGAAGATAGCTGGATGGTTAGAAAAAAATGTTTGTGTATTAGGTTGAGAGGTGGGAAGGGAGTTCTTTTTGGTTTTTGTCCTTCTTAACATTATTTTCAGTTTGCTTGCATAAGTTGGAAGTAACCTAAATTTGAAACTGAGGCAATTGGTCATATAGTCTATGCTGGATCCTTATAGAGCATTTACAAAGCAAGGGTGCCATGAAAAATTATGTACAGCAGTACTTAATCATATGGAATAAGTTTGCAAAGTATTTTACACACAAAGAACACAATACTATAGAGACTGTCTCTGGATCTTTTATACCCAATTATAACTTTTCATGCCAAAATGGACATTACTGTGAATCAACAAGTTAATTCATGTCATAGGACAGACTGACTGTAGTGACTGGTGACCTTAGTCATCTTTGTGACCTCAGCTGTTTATTTGAACATATAAATTGTGATCAGTTATTGGACACATTTTTTTAAAAACCTGTTCCCATATTTGAAGTACTTTGAAAACATTGATCAATAAGCAGAGTAAGCATGAATGAGTAGACATTAATTAAACATTTTAAGAAGAAACAAGTGGGCAATTGTAAAAACGATTTAATCAGTTTTAGTTGATTGTGTCCTTTCCTCTATCACATTTTCATATTACAAAAGAAATGTCTTCGTATTATTCCCCCCAATCAAAATAAAAAAGACAAGAAAAGGAAAATGCAGCAATAATCCTTCTCCTACATTAACACTTTGGTATGTAGGCATATGCTGCCATAACCTTTCTATACACATATGAACCCAAACATACATGTATTCGTACTTTCAGAATACAAATACTGATTATCAAAATAAAGCATGTATGTGTGTGTGTATATGTGTATATACATATACATACTATACTTTGATATTTAATATATACATACAGAGAATATTGGTTTCCCATTTTTGTCTGTTAGTCTGGTGTTAACTCTTTATGTCTGTTCAGAGGTTGACCTTGCTTAACCTAATATCTGTTGTTTTTTTTCTAACCTTTTATTTCATTACTAATTAACTAGCATTTAATTACTAATAAGAGGCTTCTTTTTCTTGATGTTCTCATTTCTTAAAATTTTAAGTTCTTTCCATTTGGGACTGTGTGTGGCACAATGTCCAGAAACATCCACAAGTCTTCATGTCTTACATCTGATGCATTGCAAATATTCCAAAAGGATACACTTTTAGTTTAGATCTTGCTTCTTGCTCATAGTGGAGGAGTCTGATGCTGTAATTTGGGCTTCTCACACTCCGTGTATATGCACTTACTGTGTCTCAGATGCTTTGTGAGCTCCACTTAGGTTGTAACACATAGTTTGAATCCCCATATAAATTGAATAGCAGTAACCATACTGAATATTCATGTAGTACTTCAGAGTTCATAAAGGGCTGTTGCTTACATCCTTATATCAGTGTCTTCCTCAAAGGGTTATTATCTTCTTTCTTACAGTTGAACCTAAGGAGTAATTTCCTATATCAATCAGAGCATGCAACTTGAGCCTTAGTCTTCTGTTTTCATGTGCTTTGGTCATCCCATTAAATCATACCACTCTTTGTATGAACACAGGTTTTGATGGGTAATTCAATGTTGCTTCCCAATGTTAGGGATTTTTGATTTTGTTTATCTATGTATTTCAGTTCTCAGTGGTCTTCAGTCTCCTGTTGACTGGGACTCCTATCCAGAACAGCCTCCAAGAGCTCTACTCCCTCCTCAGTTTTGTGGAGCCTGATCTCTTTTCCAAGGAGGAGGTGGAAGATTTTGTTCAACGTTACCAGGATATTGAGAAAGAGTCCAAATCAGGCAAGTTCCTTTTCTGCTAGATATCTCCAAGAGGACTTGGCACAGAAACTGCCCTAGTGCATAACAGCTATAGATAGAAGAGAAGTGATAACAAGAGGACATCTTCTAGGTAGATAAAGAGCCACAAATACAAAGCAGAAGTTAGATCCTTTATATTGTCTCTAGTTGTTTGCTACTCATGACTCTTTTTGTTTGTTACATAATTTTATAGTGAGGCTTATTTGCTTCATTTTCAGAAGTAGAAAGTACCTGCTGACTTGCAGACTTCCCCCAAGTTATAATTTCCCCCCAAAGGCTTTCAATGCCATTTCCTGAAGCAGAAATTAAGAGGGTGCTGTAGTCTCAAACCCCGTTCAGCATTCTGTAGCACTGGTGTTTCTTTATAACATTGCACCAAGACCAAGAGTTTGAGATGGATGGGAAGTGCAAGTGAAGGAGGGAGTCTTCTTCATTCATGTAGGTGGCTGCCTAATCTTGTACCTTTTCCCCTCTGCCTTATAGAATTTTCTGAGTATCTCTGTGATATTTTGATGTTAATTCAAAATAAATGGCAGCATGCCAACTGGTGATTTTGTAGGCACTAGTTAAGTTAGTCAGAGGGCCTTTCATAGCAAAAATCTACACACAACAGGCTAAAGATGACGTGGGAACCTGCTCTGGTCACTCCCATGTTTAGAGTTGTCATATAAAATACAGGACACCCAATCAACTATCACATGGGACATACTGTATTAAAATGTTGTTTATTGTTTATTTGAAACTCAAATTTAACTGGTTCCTTCTGCTTTTGTTTGTTTGTTTGTTTGTTTCTATATCTGGTAATCCTACATGTAGTGTAATTCTGGCTTAGGTTAAGTTTTGAAGTTCACGATACTTGATGAAAGAACAAGGGATTCAAAGTCAAAAGAACCAAATCTGAATGCTGGCAACATTTACATTCAGCTATGTGATCTTGGAGAAGATGCTTTCCTTCTCTGAGCCTTACTTAACTCTGCTATAAAAATGGGGTAATATTACTTGCCCTACATTTCTAAACTGTTATGCTAGCCATAAGATTAGGTGCAAAAATACCCTATAAGCCAGGATGTCGGTGGCTCATGCCTGTAGTTGTAGCTACTCAGGCGGCAAAGATCAGGAGGATTGCAATTCAAAGCCAGCCCAGGCAAAATAGTTCATGAGACCCTATCTCGAAAAAAATCTATCACAAAAAAGGGCTGGTGTGGTAATTGAAGGTGCAGGCTCTGAGTTTGAACCCCAGTACCACAAAAATATAAATAAATAAATAAAAATACCCTGTAATCAAATGAAATTACTATTAAGGATCAAGTTCTTGAGTGTTTCTAGTTCTTGGGTTAAGAGCCAGTCGCTTTTCCAGAAGTTGGGAAGAAGAACTCAGTGAAGAAAGAAATACAGATGGTTTTCCACTTACGATGGTTCACCTTACAATTTTTTGACTTTATGATGTTATAAAAGCAATACACTTTCAGTATAAACCATCTTTGAATTTTTATTAACATATAACATTGTACATATTTATGAGGCACAGTGTAATGTTTTGATTTATATATACATTGGGTAGTGATTAACTCAGGGAAATAGAAATTAAAACCACAATGAGGTACAACTTCACCCCAGTGAGAATGGCTATTACCCAAAAGAAAAAATGTCAATGCTGGCAAGGATATGGAGAAAGGGAACTCTTACGCACCACTGGTAGAAATGTAAAGTAGTATATCCATACTGGAAAATAGGATGGAGGTTCCTTAAACAACTAAAAATAGAAGTACCATACAGCCCAGCAATCCTGCTATTGGGTATATGGCCAAAGGAAAAGAAATCAGAATATCAACGATACCTACACCCCCATGTTTATTGTAGCTTTGTTCATAATAGGGCATGAAACTAAATGTCCCCAGTATATGATAAATAAAAAAATTTTGATATATACATACTAGAAGCATGAGTTTGATATTTTCCCAAGATAGTCGTATGTGGTAAGAAACTCTTATGCTCCTGAGCTGCACCAGTGATCAGCCAATGGTCATGAGGATGAATGACCAATCCCCCACAGTGTACTGTGCTACCAGCATTGTCTGCATGCAGGTCTTCAGTAAATTACACAAAATAATTCAACACTTCTTCTTCTTTTTTTTTTTTTTTTTGTAAAATAGGCTTCTTCTTATATTATTTTGCCCAACTGTAGAGTTGGGCAAACTATAAGAGTTTGAAGCACTTTTAAGGTAGGCTAGGCTAGCCTAGGCTATGGTATTTGGTAGGTTAGATATATTAAATACATTTGTACATGTGATTAGTTTATAGGACCATAATCATATTGTAAAAGCAGGAGCATCTGTGCTGTGAAAAACACAGAATTTGCATGATAGTATAAATAACAAAACATTGCAGTGTGTTCTGTAGTAGTTCAGTGCCTTGCCTGCTTTTGCTACACACTCTTGTATTTTTTTTCTTATGCAGCAAGTGAACTACACAAACTCTTGCAGCCTTTTCTGCTGAGGCGAGTGAAAGCTGAGGTAGCTACCAAGCTTCCCAAGAAGACAGAAGTAGTGATATATCATGGCATGTCAGCATTGCAGAAAAAATACTACAAGGCCATCTTGATGAAAGATCTTGGTAATCAGAAGGCATTTTCTGTTTAGAAACTAAATGAGCATGTTATTTTCATGCAGAGAAGTATTTTATAATTCCACTCATTTTGTATAAGAAGAATGTGGGGTGCAATTTTGTATTCTGAATGTTACTCAGGTCAGCTGCAGTGAGATTATCTCAAGAGTATCTTAGACTTGGTTGTTACAAATCCTGAAATTTTTTTCTTTCACCCAGTTTTCCTTATTGCCTTAATTAAGCACATGCTTTTAAATGTCCCAGTTATGCCTTTTATCTTTACACTCTGTCAGATACTTAACAGATTGCAAAATATTTTTGTTGAATCAAATTCACTGGTAGGAAATGAAAGTGAGAAGGGAGAGGCAGGAGTGGAACAGTCTATTTGCTGGTTTGGTTGTGTGTGTGTGTGTGTGTGTGTGTGTGTGTGTGTGTGTTTTGTTTGTTTGGTTTGGTCACTTGACTTCAGAACAGTTAAAGAAGGGAATTTAGAATTTTGGGAAAAGAAAAACAAAGCACTGCTAAATTCAATATGGGTTTCCTTCTCAAAACAAAGTAATGGTAAATTTCCTAAGGTTGTGCTGTTAATTCTCAGTGCAGTTTAGTTTAATATGATTTGAGAAGTATACGAGGAAACTAGTAAGGTTATTTATGGAAACTTTGAGGGGAAGGTTTGATAGTTCATGTTTTTCTCTTTTTAAAATTTCAGATGCATTTGAAAATGAGATGGCAAAGAAAGTTAAACTTCAGAACATCTTGTCCCAGCTTCGAAAGTGTGTGGATCACCCATATTTGTTTGATGGTAAACCAGTACCCTTTCTTGTATTATTTTTTGTGAACAGTTCTGTAGTCAGAATCATAGAAAACATTTTCAAAAGAATTGCTGGTATTTACTATGTATACTTTGTTTATTCCCATTTCTCTCTTTCTCTCTGTTTTCCGGGCCTCAAGCTGCCAGGCAAGCGCTCTGCTACTTAAGCCACGCTTCAGTACTTTAGCTTTCAGTTTGTTGTTCACATGGGGTCTCATGATTTTCCTCAGGTTGGCCTTAGACTGTAATCCTCCTATCTTTGCCTCCAAGGTAGCTTGGGATGACAGGCATGCACCACCACCCCTGGCTTTCTTTGACTTTTTTTAATCTAAGATCAAGTCATAGATCTGCATTGCATTTGTCAGACCTCTTTATTCTCCTATAATCTAGAAATATTCTTAAGCTTTCTCATTTTGACTTTTTTGTCTCCCATGATCTTGAAACTTTTGGAGAATCAAAGCCAGTGGTTTTACAGAATGTGTCATAGCATGAGCATTTCTTCATCAACCAATTTCCCACTGTGTTGGTCACCACTCTGCCAAGTTCTCCAGTGCTCTGTGTTTCCCAGCCAGTGGTTGTCAGTTCATGGTGCAGTTAGCCTCTTCTTCTTGGAAGCCCTTTCTGCACTTAGCTTCTGTGGAGCACTTTTTCCTTCTCAATCTCCTTTGCTGCCTCCCCTCATCTTACCAACTTCTGTGAGTTTCCTCTTGAGAACTTCTTAGGTCCCTCCTATAAATTTGATGTGCAGTGTTTTTGTTTTCACTTAAACCGGGGCTTTATTAGTTTTCTCTCATGGAAGCCTTTGGGACGATTCCAGGACCTCTGGCCATGGAGCTTCAAGTATAGAATGGATTAATGTGGAAGTCTGCTATAGTAATTTCAAGGAAATCTTTGCCAAGTAATGATACGAATTTTGTCTTAAATAGATGCACATTCCAGCTTATTTATTTATTTATTTTTGGTGGTACTGAGGTTTGAACACACGGCCTCAAGCTTTCTAGGCAAGTGCTCTACCACTTGAGCCATACCCCCATCCCTTTTAGTTTATTTTTCAGTTAGGTGCCTGGGTGTGCCAACACACTCAGATTGGGGTTTTGTGTGTGTGTGTGTGTGTTTTCTCTCTTAATATCTTTTTTATTTTTTTATTGTTTTTATGTTTACTCACATGCTTCCTCCCCACAACCCCCTAACTTCTGGACTTTTTTTTTGAGATAGGGTCTTGCTAACTTTTGTCCAGGCAGAACTCAAACCAGTCTTCTTGTCTTCATTTCCTGAGTAGCTGGATGACAAGAGTGCACCACCACATCTAGCCCTCTTGATTTTCTAAAGTACTAGCATCTCCCTGTGCCTCAGTTTCCTGAAGAGGTTTGCTCCTTAGATAAGAATTTGTTAGGCTCTTTGAGTGTGCTAGGCTCTGTGATAGGTGATCAGCAGCCCTGAGATTGTCATGTAAGCAATTATAAGCAGATTAGCAACAGAGATGAGACTGGGGCACCTTCCACAACTAAAGAAGTGTGGATGCTCTTGCTGCACCCTAAATATTGGCTTTCTTCTTAAGGAGTGTATCCTAACTGAGGGCACACTATTGGGAGTGGATTTTTCTCTTTACCAGGTGTGGAACCAGAGCCTTTTGAAGTTGGAGACCACCTGATTGAGGCTAGCGGGAAACTTCACCTGCTGGATAAGCTGCTGGCATTCCTTTATTCCAGGTAGGAGCAGGTTCACATTTATTGCCGGGCTAGTGACTGTTCAGACCTGAATAATGAGGAACTTGCTGATTTCTTGAGACTAAATCACATTTTCCCTTTTTCAGCACCATGATTAAGGTTCTACCTAATCTGCAACTATATGCCTGCCTCCCACTCCACGATCATCCTTTTCTTTCCTGAATTACTACAGCACTTAGGATCCAAATCCTGCACTGGCAATTGTAGACCTTACTCTGCTGTCTGGTTAATCATGCATCTTAACCTCAGGACAGAGACAACATTGAACATTTCTTTTATAATTGCTCGCTAGCATCTTTCATTGAATCAGCACACCATAAGGGCTTGGTAAACATTCTTTTTTGTTAACCTGTGGGATTTCATTTCAACTCAAGGGGAACTCAAGTTTCTAGGCGACTCTTCCCCAGAGACATGAGTTGAGCATCAAAGATCAGGTTTAGTTAGTGTTCAGTGACCTGTATCCAGCTTAGACCTGGTCTTCCTAGTCATCTGAGGAAAAGTGGGATCTAGGAAAAGCCCAGATTCTCAGGATTTCAGAGTTGTTTGTCCCTATGGGAAGACTGCCCCAGGTGTGGCCTCAGCTAACCTAAAGCTTCAGATTTGACAAAATAGCCCAATCTTTGGAATGTACAAGTTAAATAATTGCATTTCTTACTGTATTTTATTGACTCTGATATCCATATGTCTACCATAAGTGTATTAGAGTTGGAGAAGAACCAAAATTCCTTCTTGCCAACTCTTTCATTTCACAGACCAAGAAAGGTTATGTGATTTATTCAAGGTCACACAGCCAGCAGAGATGAGATTAGCATTGAGGTCCTCACCTTAAAGTTCAATTTTTCCACGCATTTGCAAGTAAAGTCTTGCAAGAGTTATCCATAGCTGTTCCTCTGACATGTTTGTTGCACATTTAGATTGTTAGTTTTCTTAACGAAAATACTATTTTGACAGCATTATGCTTTTTTATGTAAAGAAAAAGGTAACAAGGCTTGACTTCATTCTAGACACAAGCCATCATTTTGCCTTCTCCTTTTCTCTTTTCTCTCCCTACTGCACATAAGTTTTCTTTTGCCTCTTCTCTAAAATGATGCTTCTCGGGCTTCAGTCAATATAGCTGTTGATGATAGTGACTTCCTTCTCAAGTAGGAATAGCTGTAGATGGCTGACCACAAGTTCATCAGGGTCTTGGTTTGTGTGTGTGTGTGTATGTGTATTTGAATTTTGCATTTTACTCTTCACATATGAATATTTATGTTGCTGTTAAAATGAAAGCTTATATTTCTCTTGATTAAATGAACTGGTATCCCAGAAAGAGATCCTGGTTATTGTAGGTCCTCTCATACCCATTGACACATGCTCCCAAGAAATCCCCACACTAGTTTAAGATCAACCACTCTAAAGAAGACAGGTACATGTAGAGGTAATATTCTTTAGGTAAAGTGTTTAGAGTTTCTGAGAAAGTATTTAAATTATATGACATTTATATTTCTACTTTAGCATTTCATTTACTTATAAACTTATATTTTTTGGTGTGTTTCACCTGAGGGAAGCTCACCTTAAGTACTGCTAGAGTTGACAGTTTCTCCTTTTCTTTTTCTTATCAGGGGCCATCGGGTTTTACTGTTCTCCCAAATGACCCAGATGTTGGATATTCTCCAAGACTATATGGATTACAGAGGTGACTCCCCTTGGCTACCAAGCTTCCTAAGCCTTTTAGACTTAACAGCCAGACAGGTCCATGAAGAATAATATGTGGGGTTGGAACGTTACAGAGAAAAGCAGCACAAGAACACTGCTCAGAAGTAAAAGAAGATGAGAAGTGAGGGGAGTGGTGTGTGAAGTAGGGATTGACAGTGGGGTAGAGGCATGTGGATGGAAATAAATGCCTGTATTCCTGTGGGTTATGTGACTCAAAATTGTGGTTACTGGAGCAAATGTTGCAAAAATGTTGAGTGCTTTTGAAAATGTACAGTTTCAGTGATGAGAACTTTTGGTGTCTTGCAACATTTGACTGAACAGTTGAGCACTTATTCATGATTAGTAAAAAGATGAATATTGATGGGTATCAGTGGCTCACACCTGTAATCCTAGCTACTTGGGAGGCTGAGATGGGGAGGATTGTAGTTTGAGGCCAGTCCCATCTCCAAAATAACAAGAGTAAAATAGACTGGTGGTGTAGCTCAAGTGATAAAGCACCTGCTTTGCAAGCACAAAGCCCTGAGTTCAAACCCCAATCCCACCAACAAAAAAAAAAACAGATGAATATTGAAATTGTAGAGATCCCACAAATCAAGCAGGGAAAAGATAAGATCATTCATTTCTATATAGACAGTAGGCAAAGTAGGTTATTACCTGAGAACGCTCCTTAATATATAATAAAATGTATCTGGGATGATGGGAAATGCTATAACTGGTTGATTTTAAGCCCAGTGGTGCAGAAGTATCAGTTCCAGACCTTAAAAGTTAGTCCAGAGCAGTTTTCTCAGATCCACCAGATGCTCCCCAGGACAGTGTGTCTAGTCCAGTGATTACCTGTAGGAAAGCCATTGTCACACTGGGGAGTCCCTGATACCCAAGCCCATATGAAGTCATGACTCCCCTTTCTGACACGATGCCTGGTGACAGATGGAGAATGCCCGTGCTTCATCAACAGGTGTGTGCTGGGCCTTCAGGCAGGCTCCCTCTCTGCTCCCAAGGGCTCATGCTTGCCTGAATAAGAATTGTTTCCCAGAAATACAAACTGCCATAGAGTGGACAGTCAGGTGGCACAGGAAGAATCACAGCGAGTACTAACTCCATAAATTCCCAGAGCAGCATGGTATGGTCAGTTCCCTTGTAAAATGTTGAATTGTCCTCCCTAAATTTAAATTTTTTCCATGAGATTTAGTTGAAGTAGGGGAATGCCTATATATGGAGAGGGACAAAATTAGTGTTTGGTTTTGGACTGAATTTTTGTTTTTATTCCCAAGAGTGTTTGAAAAAAGTTAAGATGTCTCTATTTTTCTCCCTCTATGTAAAGGTTACAGCTATGAGCGTGTGGATGGTTCTGTGAGAGGAGAAGAGAGACACCTGGCCATTAAGAACTTTGGACAGCAACCCATTTTTGTATTTCTCCTGAGTACCAGAGCAGGTAGGCCATCTAGGTATAATGGAAGCACACAAATAATAGGTGGGACACTACTTTACATACCATCCATTACTACATTTTCCCATAATTCTCTTAAAGGTGAGGCTGTTACCAAGGAGTATAAAAAAGAGGGAACTGAGGTCATTGCCACACTTTTCCATGGACCTGGACTTCTAGAAGCATGGCAACATTTCTATCCACAATATCTAAGCTATGATTTCACCAAAGAAGTGAGGCTGAAGTTTGGGGTTGAACATACACTAATCTGCTTTACCTTTGGCCTGGCAATTTCCTAAAAGATTTCTGTGGAAAGTTTTACCTACATTCAAGTGGAAGCAACTGTCCTTCCCACCATGAATTTGTTTTGTTGTTGTTATTATTGTTTTTTTCTCTCTCTAGGCTTCAGAATCTTTTTTATTTTTAATAGACTTTACTTTTTAAAGAAGTATTACATTCACAGCAAAACACAGCAACTTTTCAAATACAGTTACAACACCCACACATTCATAGCCATGCTTATTATCAACACACCCCATCAGAGTGGTACATTTGTTACAGCTGATAGTTTCAGGTTCTTTTTTTTTTTTTTTAATTGTTGTACTGGGGTACATTGTGACATTTACAAAAGTTCCTACAATGTATCATAGTTGAATTCACCTCCTCCATCATTCTCCTTTATCACCGGTCTCTTAGTTCCTGGAATAGTTTCAACAGGTCTCATTTTTCCATTTACATACGTGAGTTCATAATATTTTGAACATATTCACCTTCCTACACCCTCCTTATATCCTCCTCCCTCCCACTATTACCAACCCCCAAGACAGGACCTGTTTTGCCTTCCTGTTTTCCTTTTTTGGAAAAAAAAAAAAAAAAGACACTTATTTGTTTAAGATAGCTGTCCAGGGTATTTCCTTGTGACATTTCCATGTATGTATGTATTATAACCTGAATTCGTTCATCCCCTCTATTTTTCTCCTTTCTACAATAGTCCCCTTCTTATGTTGATTTCAACAGGTGTAAAAATTCTATATTCATTCTTGTATACAAAGTACATCAAACATTTTTAACTTTAACTTCTTTTACCCTCTCTTTCTCATTAGTGACCTCCCCTTAGCATGACTTGTTTTTCATAATATTGCTTGTATCTGTATTCCACATATGAGAGAAAATATGGCTTTCTGAGTCTGGCTAACTTCAGATGATGTTCTCCAGTTCCATCCATTTACCTGCAAACAATGAAATTTCATTCATTATGGCTGAATAAAACTTCATTGTACATAAATACCACATTTTCTTAATCTACTAATCAGTAGTGGGGCATCTTGGCGGTTTCTGTAGCTTAGTGATTGTGAATAGTGCAATAAACATGGTGTGCAGGTGTGTTTATTGTAAACTGACTTATATTCCTTTGCATATATCCCTTGGAGTGATGTTGCTCCACCATGAATTTTGTAAACATGAAAGCCTCTTTGCTAGTTGCCCTTCCTCCAAAAGTACCCTGGGAATAGTGTTTTACAAGTTTAACAGACATTTTGTTACTTAAAAATGTGATTGCAATGAAACTTCCAGCTATTTAGAATTATTTATAACCGTGTCTCTGTGCAACATAAATCATAAATAATATGCATGAAATTTGTGGTGCTGTACATAATAGTTACAGAGTGCTTTTATGTCATATCAAATAATCTGAAATCAGTTTTGGGAAACGAAGTTTTTCTTACATCCTGGATTGAGTAGAGAGCTTAAATTAAGCTTTGAACTCATAATCTTAGTTTATTATTTTATTTTTGCCTAAATCCTGGTGGAATAGACAAGGAACAGAAAAGGAATGTGTGTTGTATATTAAAGAGTGATCAATATTTCAATGAAAAGAGAGATCAGTTTTGTTTAAGAAGCATTTATTCAGTACTCAGTACTGTAAGAGTATGTAAATAAAGAAGTTTTAGATATAATCCTTAACCATAAGAAGATCATCAGTTTATGTCTTACCTCTCTAAAAAGAAAATAATGTAAGATAGCAGATTCATTTGGCTTCATTCTCTTCCAAGGTCACAGATGACACCCTGCATCTCAGCCACCATTCATGTGATCTGCTGTCTCAGGGGAGTCTTAGTGGAATCTTCAAGGATCGGGGCAACTTATAGCATTGAGAAGTCATTTCCATTTGTGCTTTAAAGAGTTCTGCATCAGAGAACAGTATTACGTTCAAAACGTTTGAAGTTGGGAAGCAAGAGGTCTTTGCCTTTCAGTTAATATGCATGAGGACTTGGGGTAGACCCTGTAGGAGCTAGACATTAGTCTAGTCCTAGACATTAATGTTTTCCGCATCACTGCCATGTTTGCTATCATGTTTTTGCTATAGTTTTGTAGCATTTTTGTATTTAACAGGTTTCCCTCCAACTTTCACATATTTCTGTGATTGAGTCATATTGCCACCAGATGGCAGTGATAGCTCATGAATCTGTCCCAAACAAACCATCATCCAAGGGAGGTGTAGGTCAGTGATAGAGTACTTTCGTAGCATGTGCAAGGCCCTGGGTTCAACCCCCAGCACCAAAAATAACAAATAAAAAAAATCAACTGTAGTGAAGAAGAGCTGGATTTTTTGCTGTCCTGGCGTTTGAACTCAGGGCCTCACACTGGCTAGGCAGGTGCTCTACTACTTGAGCCACACCCCCATCCCTTTTTGTTTTAGATATTTTTCAGGTAGGGTCTCATGTTTTTTCCCTGGGCTGGCCTCAGAACATGATTCTCCTACCCATGTTCTCCTGCATACTGGGAATCACAGCCACCATGTCTGGCTTATAAATTGATATTGGATTTCACAAACTTTTTGTCCAAGCTAGCCTCAAACTGCAGTCCTCATGATCTCTGACTCCCAAGTACATGGGATTACAGGCATGAGCCACTGTGCCCAGCAGAAGAAGATAATTTTTTATGGAGGACATTTTTAAGTGAAATAAGTGCCTGGGAAGTATTGGAGTATACTGTATAAAAGCACAGGTTTTAGAGCCAGGTGTGGTTTGTGGCCTATAGTCCCAGCTACTTGGCAAGTTGAAGCAGGATTACTTGAGCCCATGAGTTTGAGCCTAACCTGGGCAACATATCGAGGAAACCTTATTTCAATGAATAGGAGCCAGACCATGGGGGACTGAATCCTAGCTCTTTCATCTGCTAGCTGGGCAACTTCAAATAAATCCCTTTATCTTTGTTTCCATATCAATATCTACAAAGTAGAGATAGCAAGGACTCAGGGTTGTGTGCAGGGTAGAAGAGTTAATACATGCAAAGTGTCAGAACAACAGTTGGCACACAGTAAACAAAGCCTGTGTGTAGCTATCGTTGGGTATAACTTAGCTTTTCATTACTCAGTCATTATCTCTTTATTCCAACTTTACTTTTAAATGAAGGCTTTAATTAGAATGTTCTTGCCTGACTTATCTTGAAATCCAGCTGTGAATTAGTACTCCTCAAAAGTCCTTAATTCAGGCTCTTGGAACAAGCCCTTGTAGGCTCACTTGTTTTACCAACGAGTTCTAACGACCCTGGCAAGAGTGAGTCCATTTCTTACTGGTATTCACATTAATCAAAGAGAAGGCTGTAATTTGCCTTTGTGGTTCTTTAATTCCTACAACCAAAGTCCCTCTTTAGCCCTTGTCCTGTAGCACTGAAGTAAAACCAGAGGTTGTTGTGTGGCCTGTTTTTGTCTTGAGTTGGTGTGTTGCATTGCCTTTGATTAATGTGGAATGAGTACAGAAAGACTTTCTAGGTTTTCTCCAGTCAGAGGGAGGTTGTTTCCCACTCTGCTTGAGAGTGTGTCATTCCCTCTGCTTGTTAGCTCATAAGTGTGATCAAGTGTTCTTCTCTCACTAATGCCCACAGCAGGCCTCTCACATGTAGAGCTGTTTTCTGAAAGAGCATTTTGGAAGACTATTCTAAGCACAATTCAACAAGGTTTTTAAACAGGGAGATTTAAAGTAACTTCACAGCACTACCTTAAGCGTCCTCTTTTGCTACTAGCCCCCACTCTCCTCATTCTGTTATACTCAGTAATTAGATGTTCCCCACTCAGGCAATGTGAAGTCAGGGACCATGTCTGACTACTACCGGGTTCTGGAATTGGTGATGAGGTGTTGGTTTGAAAGATGAAGCCAGTCCATTTGATAGATTTCAGTTTACCAGCTTAGCCTTGTATCTATTTCCCAGTTCCTCATCTCTGTGCTGCTGCTCACACTCCTTTTTGTCTTGGTTTAGGTGGAGTTGGCATGAACTTAACAGCAGCAGATACCGTTATTTTTGTTGACAGTGATTTTAATCCTCAGAACGACTTGCAAGCAGCTGCCAGGGCTCACCGGATAGGCCAGAACAAGTGAGAATCATTGGCGTTTTTTTCTCTTCCTTGGCTTGCCTGGGTTGTGGAGGAGGGTGAAGGGCATGGTCCTGGTGACAGTGTCAGATAGGGAGGCGAGAGACCCCAGGTTCTGTCCCCGCTTTGCTGCTGACTCCTGGAGAAGTGTTGGATGGGTCACATTAGTCCAGACTTATTTTATTAGATACAGGTCACATTATGAAAAGATTTAACTTCTTAAGAAGTTATTTAACTCAAAGAATATATCTTGAGTTAAGGTTTGGTTCAATTAAAAACTGGGCTAAAAGGGGTTCTGGAACTTTGCCAAATAGATGGATGTTTTTGACCTAAGGACAATATGTTCTGTCAGGGATTTTCCTTAGCCAGGGATGAGGTATCCCAGTTATGGTTACCTCTTGACTTTTTGGAGAATTCAGAGAGAATTTGAGACCACATCTCTCCAGCAAATGCTCAGGACTGAATGACACAGTGTCTTTTTTTTTTTGGTGTTGAAGATAGAACCCAGGCATTACATGTGCTATCTGCCACTGAGCTACACCCCAGCCCAAGGATATCCTTTTAATTGTACTGTGTGTGTGTGTGTGTGTGTGTGTGTGTTTTGGCTTGGCTTCCCATTGGGTGTACCTACCTGGCACACTTTTACCCAACTTTGCAGATGCTTATCACAACTGCTGTCATTTGTCTTACATACAGGTCTGTTAAAGTTATTCGGCTGATCGGCCGAGACACTGTGGAAGAAATTGTTTGTAGGAAAGCAGCCTCCAAACTGCAGCTCACCAACATGATTATAGAAGCTGGCCATTTTACTTTGGGAGCTCAGAAACCTTCAGCCGATGCTGACCTCCAGGTAGAGTACACAGTTCTACTTAGGAAAGCCTTGCTTTGTGGCCAGTGCTCTCTGAGTGAGGATGTAACCACCCACTCTCCCCAACCACACATTCATTCCCTGACCTAACTCATACCCACCATAGTACTGACACATGCAGGGTGCTGGAGGAGCTAAAATGAGAGTGGTACATGAAGGCAGTAGACTATAGAATAAAGCAAACTGGCTTTGAGACATCTAGCTTGGATTCAAATCCAAGCCTCATCACTCATTGACTGTGTGACCTTAAGTAGATACATTTTTTTTCTTTGTCAGTACTAGGAATTGAACCCAGGGCCTTGTGCATGTTAGGCTAGCGGTCTACCACTTGAGCCATGCCCCAGCCCTTTTGTTTGTATTTTTATTTATTAAAAATTTTTTTTCGTGGTTCTGGGTATTGAACTCAGGGCCTAGCACATGCCAGTAGGCAACACAATGCCACTGAACTGCACCCCCAGCCCTTTATTTTGTTTTTGAAATAGGGACTTACTAATTTTGTCCAGGCTGGCCCCAAACTCATGATCCGCAAATCACTACACTCAGATTTCCAGATCTCATAGATCTACGCTCTTTTTTACTTTTCTAAAAATGAAGATGCTACTGTTTACCTATGAGGGTGGTTAAAAGAATTAAGTTTAAAGAAAGAACTTGATGTAATCCATGGCACTTAATTCCTTATCTCTTTCTTAATCCCAGATCCTTTGATCAGTGATTTATACTACTCAGTTCAGACTCAAAGGAGGCAAACAAGATTCAAAACTGTGCCATCAGAAAAGGGGACAAAAGAACTAGAGATAATTGCTTGAGGAAGGGAAACTTAGATGGGAGTCACATGATGTCTTGGATGATTCTAGAGAGAGCTCTCTTTTGGAAGAGGCTTATAGTCATCATATAGCAGCCCTTGAGTTAAAATTAGAACCTGTGGTATAATATATCCAGGTTCTTTTGAGGGCCTGGGTGTGGAGAGACCAACTCCTAGGATTCTAGAAAGATCCTGGCATGAAATGAGTAATAAATGTCTGGCAAGGGCAGTAGTGTGAAAAGGTCTGCAGTAAGGAACATTGCAGAGAAGAACTGACAGGAGCTGCCTACTGTTTTGAAGTGGGCAACTGGCAAACACAGCTGTGAGCCTTTAAGCCTATGCGGTGAGAATAGAATCGGGAAGAGAGGAGGTGTACGAGGAAGGGCAGAATTTAGGAAGGTGAGTATAATGTAGGCTTTAGTAAACACAGTTTGTTGTAAAGCTACAACATAAAGGGGGTGTGGCCCAGAGGTAGAGCATGCATGAGGTCCTGAGTCCAATCACCAAGTCCACCACCACTACCCCCCCAAAAAAAGAAAAGAAAAATGCAATATAAACATAAATGATTGTTAGGGAAAGACTCAGAGACAAAGTGAAAGGCTTTCATTTAGAAAAGTTTGCAAGGAAAAACACAGGCTTTAAAAGGACTAACTTAGCAAATAAAGGTATATGAAAAGGAAGCATTACACAGTGCTACAGGTAGCAGAGTTACCAAGTTTACGGTTACTCCTAATAACCAGCAGTTTTCTGACACATATCCAAAGGCCAGCAGTGGTTTTACGCTGTAGCATTGCAGAGATGCAAACCATGCTGTTTTTGTTAGATGGTCAATAACTTGCAGGAAAGGCTCGTGGTTTTTTGGGAACTAGACTAGAAATAAAACCCTGGGTTTTATTCCTTCATTTGTTTGATTGCTGTCCATCTTAGAGGGGTAGGTGTGGAATTTTTATTTTATTTTATTTATTTTTTTCTTTTTCCATTTTGTTGTTGCTGTTGACACTGATGTCCCATGCTTGCTCATCTGTCATGGTGGCAGAGCAGGCTGTATTTTGTTTTCACATGATTAAAGAGGCAATTACAAATATAACATGATAGCTTTAGAGAGAGGTAGCTTGAGAGATGATAGCTTATAGAGACCCCTAAATACAGTTCTCCATAGAGTTTTGAGAGATGGTACTCCCTTGGGGATCTTGAAAGGCCACATTCTGGTAGTTTAGAGCTCTTAACAGGTACTTGAACTGTGTGGCAGTAGAGGGAGCTCCAGGGATTCAATTAGGGTGTCCCTGTGACATGGGCTGCTGGTACATCATTGTGAAACGTCGTTGAACGTGACTCCTTGTCATGGGGACAAATACTGTGGGACTATAGACTGCTGGCTGTTTAAGGGGCCCTGTGGCACTTTCTGCCCATCTCCTGGTTACTAGTAGGAAAGTTGCACCTGGCGCTAATGTCTGAATTTTCTCTTCTCCATCCAGACTCTACTGAGTTATTTGTGGTTGTCAAAAACAAAGGTAATAACCCAGTGCCCTTGTCTCAAAAGAAAGCAGAGATGTTTTTTTTGCTTTTTGTGTTTTTTGTTTGCTTGTTTTGGGTTTTTTTTTTCTTTTGTTTTCTTTCTTTTTTTTTTTTTTGGCAGTACCAGTGTTTGAACTCAAGGCTTTACACTTAGTAGGATGCACTCTACCATTTGACCCACACCTCCAGACATGATTTTCTTTTTTTTTAATAAAAAAAAAATCTAACAGTAAAAGCTGTGGTTCTGTTTGATAAGTCTAAGCAGTGTGGAGCTGTGAAGTCCCGAAGGAGGGAAGCAGGCTCATAATCTCACAAGGACAGCACAACAGAAACAGAAAGGCAGACACAGATGGAGTGAGCATTTATTGCACATGTACTGTGTGCTCCATATTTTCTAAAGTGCTCTTTTCCAGTTGTTTCAGCGAATAACAACAGAATGAGGTAGCGCTATCTTTATCTTCATCTTAAGTAGTTAGCCCAAGGTCATTCAGGTTTAGGACTCCAGATCTAAGCACTCTTTAAACTCCAGCCACATGCCCTTGTTGCTATAATATACTGCTTCTCATAAAAACACAAGAAAAAGGGGAGAGAACAGGAGGATGAGTACCAGGAGTGTCAAGAAGATTCAGACTAAGCAATAGCCTTTGGTTCTGATGACCAGGAGCTGTCACTGGTCTTAGCCATGTGCTTTCCATAGAGTATTGTGATAGGAAGCAAATTGCCAAAGGAAAAGAGTCAGCATATGGTGAGCTAGAGTACTTAGCGGAGCCTTCTCTTTCTAAGATTTGGCTGTAGAAAAGTTAGGAAAGCAGCTAACGGGGTCTCTGATTTCTCTTGTAGTTGCAGGGAATGCCTGTGAGAAAGGAGTTAGTGAGAAGTGCTATGGAAAATGCTGAAAATTACTGTTATTCTTACCAAAAACTGGAGGCTTATAAATGTTTTTGTTGTTGTTATGGAGAATTGCCAGAGTCAAAAGCTCTGGTCATCATTTATCACCTCTTTTCTTACCCATCATCTAACTGTTAAACTGCCTGGTTGGTGTCATCTTGGTGGAGAAGAAAGGCTGTCTGTCAGGGAAGGAATGTGCCTGGAGGCTCTTAGCAAATCACCCATGTCCTGATGTTTATTTTCATAAGAACTAACTGGACTTTTTTTATTTTCTCCATTCAAGCTAAGTAAGATCCTCAAATTTGGCTTGGATAAACTGCTGTCCTCTGAGGGCAGCACCATGGAAGAAACAGACCTGGAGTCCATCCTGGGAGAAACCAAAGATGGCCAGTGGGTCTCTGATGCCCTGCCTGCAGCAGGAGGAGGGAGCAGAGAGCAAGAGGAAGGAAGTGAGTTGGGGGCCTGGATATAGCAAATGGCACAACCACACCAAGCTAGGGCATGAATGAGATGAGTCTCATGGAGAGTTCTGTGCCTGCTCCCAGACATCTTTTCCTACCCAACCCTAATGCTTTCTTGGGCATACTCTTCAGAATTTGCTTGGTACAAAAACTCTTCTTGGACTAACTGGAATTGTATCTGGCTATTTCTTTGTAGCTGAACTCTGAACCAAACTCATGATATAAATGCTTATGTTCATCTGAACCTCAAAGAGTACCTTTGTGTGGTTCCAAGCATCTTCTCAGGCCTGTGTCTTTACAGGGGTTCTCTGCACATAGTGATGTCCTTTTTGGGCAGAATGACTTGCTTTGTCAATGGAGGTCTCACTGTGTGCTCACTCACAGTGCAAGCTGTGTCATGTGCCATTTATCTCCACAGGACCCCTTGTGTGAAGAAGATGATTTTGTCTTTTCCTTACTCTGAATTTGATAAACATTTGGCTTTTTTGTTCTTTTCTATTCTGAATTTTGTATTTGAAATTTTTTTTGTTTGTTTTATCAATGTAACTGTGTATGGATGTTCCCTAGTGTCTCTTGGTTATTTTCAAGTGACTATTTTCCTGTGCCAGCAGGAGCAGGGAGTCATATGGAAGAGGGTGAGGAGTAGAGAATCTTACTGGGCTTCTTAATTCACGCATTCCTTGTCCCGTCCATGCAGAGAACTCTGCCTTTGCTAGACGGAGCTTTCTGTCTGGTGGGAGTGGGCTGGATGCGACTTCTGTTGTTTCTCTAGGAATTTCCATGACTTGCTTTCTTCTTTCCCTTTGCCAAAAAATGTTAAGGGATGTCTCCTTATTCTAAGTTGTCCCTCCCCACCAACCCCCAAAAGCAGTGCTTTCCCAAATTTCTGGTTACATCTAGTTTTAGTTCTTTTCTTTTAATTTCTTGGTAGCCAATGCTGCATCCAGCAGGTGAGACCCTCATTTTGGGGGGTAAATTTTATCTTTCTGACACTATTACAACCTCACTGCCCTTCCTCCTGTTCAGTCTTTGCCTGACTCTCCATTCTAGTTTGTGCTTCCCAGCTGGCTCAGCTGGTTTGGGGTATTTATTTCTCTACTTACCTGACAGTGGAAATTTGTAGTATTTCCTGACACCTAATTTTGTAGTAGGCCTGGATTGACGTGGTTTTGTCCACATTGCTGATGTGTATGGTTTTTATTTAGGCAGCTGGTATTGTTTTGCATGATACTGTTCTTTGACTTCTGTCATGTTTTACCTTTAAGTTCTTTATAATAATATCCCATTTATATTCTTCAAAAACACTTTCCTATTCTTTGCTTGTCTTAATTGTATCCTGCTCTCATTTTAAGGGCCTAATATTCTCCCTGAATCTTCCCTGAGGGCCTTTATTATAGCTTTTTAAAAAAGGATTCTTCTATCCACCGCATTGTCTCTTTTCCCTCCAATTGTTTCTCCCTCTTTTAAAAAATTTGTTTTAGAATCTCTTGTTCTTCTTGTTGGTAGCTTTTCTGAACTGTCTGATATCCTTGGTCTGCCTGACTATAAGTGCTGGTGACGTGCCATGAGTTGATGACAGCCCTGCTGTGAGCAGGTAGATGGGCCCTGGGGCCTGCTCCCAGCATGGCTGGTTGGTGAGGCAGCCTTCACACTGCAGGAGCCTTCCCAGATACCTGTATTTGAAGACTTTTTACTGAGCAATTCATTTTCTCCAGAGATGAAGGGAGGTGAGGCAGAGTAAACCTGTTTGCTTACAGAACCAATGGGTGAGTATGGCTGGGGTGTCCCATTGTTTTGTGTGCAGATTTCTCAGCTCCCTACCTCATGGTGCCCTGTACTTGTGAGTCCTAAACTTTTGGAGGGTTGGGAGGGTCTCTGTTTCCTTAGTCAGCCTTGGATTAGGTTGTTTTGGTTCCATGACTCTTCTTAATCTGTTATCCTGCCAGGCTACTTTCCACTTTGCAAAGAGCTATTGAACTTTCTCATTTACCACTGCCTCGTATATCTTTTTTTTTTTTTTTTTTTTTTTTCAGCACTGGGGCTTGAATTCAGGGCCATTACCTTGAGCCACTCTGCCATCCCTTTTTTTGTGATAGGTATTTTTGAGATAGGGTCTCACAAACTATTTGCCTGGGCTATGATCCTCTTGATCTCTGCCCTCTGAGTAACTAGGATTATAAGCATGAACCACTGGTGCCCAACTCTCATACATCTTTTTAAAAATCCTTTTACTGTCATTTAGCAGTTTCAGGTGAGGTAAGTAATAGATGTATGTGGTCATATTTTTAAGTTATATTTGATTTTCTTAAATACCAAAGCTTACATCCATTTCCACACGCACCTAGATTAATTCCAGCCTACTTTCCTAATATTTCCTAGAACAAAATAAAATTGCAGTGTTTTCAGAAACACGATTATATTTCTTAGTTAATCCAACTGCCTAGAATCATTATATATTTTTCAGCTAATCCAACTGTCAGGAAGGAGTCCCGTGTTGGATTAAAATTGGTAATATTGTCTTTGATGAATGGGTCTAGGCTTCCTGTGTAGCAGATCGTCCACTGGCAGGATGCAGAAGATGGTCTAGACCTGTGGGTGCTGGCCTCCTCTTGGCCACAGAATTAAGATGGGGAGTGCAAATGAAAATAACATAAAGGAATATGAGAGACTAGTAATTAAAGCAGTCCTATGCGATAAGGCAGGGTTGCTTTATCTTGATGCCAGGGTTTTTTTTAAAGCAGGTTTACATTATAAGTTGAGAATTTCATGCAGTATGAAGCTACATATGTTGATCATATTTGACACTTCTCAGCTTTATTTCTCACTTGTTGATAGAGTGATTCATTGAAAGCCCCCTGCTGATTTAATTAGCAAATGCCAATTAGAATTACAGCTGGTTAAATTTGGGTACAAGTGTGAAGCAATTGATCTCTTGAGAATGCAAATGTTTTGCTTTCATATTCTCTAGAGAAAACATTCTTATAGCTGATTTTATAATGCTGTGAAAATACATTATTTGGTAACGTGCAATAAAATATACTTCACTGTCAAATCATTATCTTACCTATCTGTGGTTGCTGGTCTTGGATGATTATCCCTTGATTCATGATCTTGGCAAATCACTCAGCCTCATTGAATTTTTGTGTCCTCATCTGTAAAAATGGTGCTACTGATGTCTGCTTTACCCTCTTACACACTTGCAAAAATCAAATGTGCTGATAGGTGTGCAAGTGCTCTGATAGCAGAAAGTGTTACTTAAAATTACACTATTGTACTTACTCTTATTACTATAATTATTATTTGCTAGCTTGCTTCATTTTTGCTTTTCTGTGGACAGTAATCTACTGAAAAGAGCACACTGGCATTGTAATCAGAAAGTCCTGCCTTTTCCATTTATCAGCAGTGAGAGTTGAGGCATCCCTTAATTCCTGTGTGAGCCTCAGCTTCCCTTTTTCAAACATGAGGTTAATTAGCCAGGATTGAGGTGAGGATCATGAAAGTACATCAAGAGATCTGTAAAGAATATTGAAAATCCTAGGGATTGTGTTTGTGATTTTTCATTTTCTCATGGATTTGCCACATGTTTCTTTTAATACTATGAAAAGGGGGAAAGGAGTTGATTATTTAAAGTATGTTTGGAATGAAAAACTGGAGATTTTATTGGGGAATCTTAAGATCAGTGAGATTTGTGCTGAGGAATAGCTGTGGATGAGTGAGAAATTCAAGACTCAGCAGAGATCCACAAATTATCTACATGGACCAAAAGGGTTTTAAGCCATGTTTTGTCCTTTTTAAAAGTGAATGTATGGGACCCTCATGTGGAACCCAAACCCATTTGTGTCAGCATGATATGAAATGAAATCCCTTTGTCACAAGCAGGTCTTAGCACATTTAGGGTGTGGCTGCTCTCTTATTCACCCTAGTTATTGCTTTGAGTAACAATTATCTATTTTTCTATGTCTAATATTTGTCTTTCTATGTTCTTAGAAAACCATATGTACCTATTTGAAGGTAAAGATTATTCTAAAGAGCCCAGTAAGGAAGACAGAAAATCATTTGAACAACTGGTGAATCTTCAGAAAACTCTTTTGGAGAAAGCAAATCAGGAGGGCCGGTCACTCCGAAAGAAAGGCAGTGTAAGAACTGTTAATTTACAAAAAAACATAAATTCTTTCAAACCATCATCCTAAGAGAATGAAAAAAAAAAAAAAGATGCTAGGATCATTTTGTTCTCTTAAGATGATTTATTAAGAAGTACATATTTGTTGAATGTAATAAATAAACTGAACCCTAGTATAAAAACCATGCAAAATGTTGTAATAAAAACATGAATAAGGTGAATGTATTGTATGATTTGATGCAGGTAAAAGCATCGTTATTCCTCTAAGCCACCCTAAAGGGGCCATCAAATCCCGACATTGACAATGGTGACCCAATACCGTAAACAGAAGATGGCAATCATAAATGATACCTGTAATGTTCACAGTGTTTGGTGCCTGCCATGTGCTCACTAAATGCCAGATACTATTGCAATAATCATGACATTGAACTATTCTGTTTGCAAAGGAATTATGTAATAGGTTTGTAGAAAGATTGGAATTAAAATTGGCTAAACTGAAAATGTCATCGTGTGGGGTATGCTTTCAATCAAGAGAAAAAGTTGCTGTTCTGCAGTACCTTGTTCGTAATGAATCAAAATGACTGTACCTGCCATGCCAGTACTTTGGCTAAGTTTAGCACACAGTGGTCACCGTGCCTATGAGATGTATCATATGGACAGTAAAGTGAAATGTCTTGCCAGTATTTCCCACCATACAAGGTGGCTTGGAGATGCATGGTTTGTGAAATACTCAGCATGTTGCTTTTGTGCAGAGTGCTTCAGGGGTCAATGAGACTCATGGAGGAATAGGCGGCTTCTGACTTTTCTGGTTGTGGGTCTTTTCTTCCTAAGGTTCTTATCCCAGGCCTTGTGGAGGGATCCACCAAAAGGAAGCGTATACTGAGCCCAGAAGAACTGGAGGACAGACAGAAGAAAAGACAAGAAGCAGCAGCCAAGAGAAAGAGACTAATAGAGGAGAGGAAGAGGGAAAAGGAAGAAGCTGAACATAAGAAAAAGTATGTCTGCATTATTAACTACACTCAGGATCACAGTTGGGGTTTTTGGTTTTTTTAGGGGGTGGGGTTTAGTGATACTGGTGTTTGAACTCAGGATCTTGTATTTGCTAGGCAGGTACTCTACCATTTGAACCACATCCCCAGCCCTCTGGATCATAGATGGTAAACAAGTCCATTCTGTATAATGAGTCCATAGCTAACATCATGTTAAAAACACAGAAAATGTCTGTCAAGTTACCAGTACCTGTCTGTATCAGAATATATCTATTTTTTTTCTTTCTTCTATTTTATCATTTTTACATTTACTTACATGTGTGTACATTGTTTGGGCCACCTCCCTCCAGAATGTATTTTTAAAGATTAAACATTTAGTCCTTTAGTGAGAAGCCCTGAGAGCCTAGGGCAGAGAAGATACACTAAAAGAAAAAGTTTTAAATTTTTATTGTAGCTGTCTGACAAGGAGTCGTTTACTTAACAGTCGCTTTTAGTCATGTTCTTGAAGAACAGGGAAATTTGGTGGATACTCACTATTGAACTGTAGTCAGGAGGCAGTTAGGCTAATCAGTAAGACTTGTTTATTTACAAATAAGCAGAAAACATCAATCAGGGTGAGTTTCTAATTGCATTTCCACTTCACAGTCATTGTTTGTGAATCACAGTACAAAGTGTGCTCCAAGGGAAGATTAATTTCCTTTTCTCTCTGGCCTATTGAAGGATGGCCTGGTGGGAATCCAACAATTACCAGTCCTTCTGCCTGCCCTCTGAGGACAGTGAGCCTGAGGACCTTGAGGATGAGGAAGATGAAGATGCTGCTGAGCTAGATGGTAGAGACCCAGACTCCACCTCCATTAAATATGTTATTGGTGATGTCACCCACCCACAGGCTGGGGCAGAAGATGCACTCATCGTACACTGTGTGGGTAAGAGAAGTGGTCTGGAAACCAGAGGATACCTTAGTCTTCATGGGGCTAAGAAATGGGGAAAATGAGGCAAAATTGTGACAAAGGGTGATGGTCCCAGTGTAGTGTTATACAATCAGGAAAGCATGGATTTTAGAATCAGGAGAGAGAATTTAACTCTTGGCTCTTCCCTTTAACTGGTTGAGTTAGCCAACCTCCCAGAGCCTCAACTTCCTTGTCCATATTAATGGGATAATATTTGCTTCATCCTATGTACAGGTTTATATGAAGGTGAAATAAGGCCACATGTGGAATGCAAAAGCATGCTTTGAGATAAAAACAAAACTCCAAGTGTGTTCCCCCTCTTGACCTTTGCACTTTGTATTTCCTATGCTTGGAACCCTCTTTTTTTTTTTTGCAATACTGGAGTTTGAACTCAGGCACTCTACAGTTGAGCCATGCCTCCATTCCCCCTGGAATCCTCAACCCTTTTTCTCCCAAATACCCACATTGAGCATTGTTCAAATGTCTACTTCTCAGAGAGGTCTTCTCTAATCACCTTATGTAAAACAATCTCCATTCCACCTCTTTTATTCTCTATCCTCTTTCTACCCTATTTTTATTGCCAGGTGTATCAATACCTGACATATTAGCGTATATACTTGTTTATTTGACTACCAATGCATTAGAAAGTAAGCTTCATGGAGCAGGGTTATTTTTTTTGTCCACTGCTATAACCCTAGTGTGTAGAATAGTGCCTGACATGTAGTACACACATCTGTAGTATGAAAGAGTGTAGATTCAAGGTACTGAACAGCAATGTTAGTACCAGCTTGAATAAGACCTTTAACTTTTCTTATTCTTACCTGTGGCATGAGAGTGTGTGCAGAAGTAATAACCAATGCCCACCCTGTTAAGTTCCATCTACTATCCATCCTTCCTCAGTCACCTCCCAGGAGTTACAGTGCACCAGAGATTCTGCTCATTTAGAACACTAATTTTTGAGGTGGTTTCCTGTTCAGACAGCCATGTGTGGCCTCCCAGAAATCCTAAACATATTTAGAAGTCCAACTAGGTATTCCTAGGAGATCAGATATATTTTACTTACCTTTGGAAAATCATTCTTCCTCAGCCCATTTTGTGTGCCTTTGGTTTTTGAAATTGTGGGCTGCATTTTGCCTCCTATAGATGAAAATTTTCTTTTTCTTCTGTCAGATGACTCTGGCCGTTGGGGCAGAGGTGGTTTATTCACAGCTCTGGAAACACGATCAGATGAGCCAAGAAAAATATATGAGCTAGCTGGGAAAATGAAAGGTAAGAAACAAAGCAGTGGGGAGGGTCAGGGATGGAATAAGACAGGAGAGGACACTTAAGATAGTATCAGGTGGGTTGCAAAGCACTGGGTAAGTCAGGAGACCTGAATGGAGCCTGAGTTTTTCATCAACTAGCTAGTTATGTGACTGTGAGACAGTCTTTGTCCTTTCTGTGCTTGTTTCCTCACATGTAATTTGTGAATAATTGTTCTACCTACTTCATGGGACTATATTGAGGATAATGAATGTGCAAGTATTTTGTAAAATGTCAATCGCTGCATGCTTCTTAAGGTATTAGAATGAAGATTACCTCATTGTTCCCAGCTCATCCCATCTTCATAAGGGAATATCTCATGAAAATGTCAGAGCCCTTAGAGAGAAATCAGACATGCTATTAACAGGCTAACAACAGCTCGAGTTTGGTGCTAAGGGGAAAGAGGGTGTGCTGTGAGATCACTATAGCTGGAGATTCAACATTTCTAGAAACAGAAGCTGTTTGGAGCCAGGGGAACTTGGAATGCTAAACAAATATTATCCCTTGAACAGATCATGCTAAGGGGAGGTCACTAACGGTAGAGGGAGGGTTAAAGAAGGAAGTTAACGTGAATATGATTGGTGTACTTTCTGTACAAGAATGAACATAGAATTTTTAAACATGTTGAAATCACCATAAGAAGGGAAGTAAAGTAGAAAGGAGAAAAATAGAGGGGATGAACCAATTCAAGAATGAACCATACATACATGGAAATGTCACAGTGAAACTCCCTGTATATATTTTATCTTAAATAAAAATGTCTTTTTTTCAAAAATGGAGAACAAGAAGGTAAAACAGGTCCTGTCTATGGGTTGGCACCAGTGGGAGGGGAAAGATACAAGGAAAGGGTGTAGGAGGGTGAATACGGTGGATATATGTATTCATCTATGAAAATGGGAAAATGAGACCTGTTGAAACTATTCCAGGAGTGGGGAAAGGGGTGATAAAGGAGAATGATAGAGGGGGTGAATTCAGCTATGATATATTGTAAGAATTTTTGTAGATGTCACAATGTAACCCCAGTACAACAATAATAATAATAAAATACTGTTCCTTGACACAGAAAAGGAAAAGCACCTGCTTTTACATGTGGAAATCATAATGGGGCAAGTAGATAAAATTGTCATTGTGGTTTTCTGGGGGAGTTGAGAGATCAAAGGGCCTGTCCAGTAGAGAAGGGCCCTCCAGCTCTCTTAGGATTTTTTTTTTTTCGAATTCTTCTGCCCAGTTCTTTATCCTCTAGAAAGGGATATAAAGACATAGAATGGATACTCTTTCTAGTAAAGCAGAGTGCTGAGAGAAGGTCTTAGTATGTGTAGAAACAGTCAGCTCAGACACTGATTGAGCAGTTGGAAAAGGAGAGAACTGGGGAGAGGTTAGAGCCAGAGTTGCAGACAAAAGAGCCCCTGCTTGGAGTCCTTGTTTGAAACCATGGCAGAGAACAACATGGAAAACTTCACTTAGGAGCTGATGCAAGAAGGGGTTATCAGAAAAACAAGAGAACCTTGAGACGGTAGTGTTTTGAGGTAAAGGTTGAATAGCCCTTATGCAAAATGCTTGGAAGAGTTTCAGATATTTTTGGGGGGTGTTGGGGTAGAATATTTGCATACATAATAAAACATTATAGGGATGGCATCCAAGTGTAAACACAAAAGTCACTATGTTTCATATACACCTTAGAAACATCTCCTGAAGATAATTTTATACAATATTTTTAGTGTACCTGTGTTGTTTTGTTTGTTTGTTTGTTTGCTTGTTTTGCAGTGCTGGGATTTGAGCTCAGGGCCTACACCTTGAGCTACTCCACCAGCCCTTTTTTGTGATGGGTGTTTTCAAGATAGAGTCTTATGAAACTGTTTGCCCAGGCTGGCTTTGAATCTCGATCCTCCTGATCTCTGCCTTCTGAGTAGCTAAGGATTATAAGAATAAGCCACCGGTGTCTAGCTAGTACACCTGTATATTGATTACAGTCCATCACATGAGGTTAGCTGTGGAAGTTTCCACTTGGGATTTCATGTCACAGCTCAGAAATTTGGATCTTGGAGCATTTTGGTTATTTGGATTAGAAATGCTGAACATTTACAAGGGAAGAGAGGATGTAAAGAAGGCAAAGTGGTCTGCACTGAAGTAAGGGTAAGAACTGGGTAAGAAAAGGCCATGGGATTTGACCCAAGATCAGTCACATGACCTTGGAGCACTTTAGTGAAGACCTGGTTACACAGATTTACAGTAAGGAAGTGGAGATGGAGTGTTCCTCTTCTCTGAAGAAGGATTAAAAGAGGGCACAACAGAAGGAACGAAGCTGGGCTAGAAGGGATGAAGCTACCGGGAAGGCAATGAAGGTTCATTATAGGTAATGAAAGTTATCTTGGGTTGAATTAGAATAGGTAAAGAGAAATGGCAGGAGATTCTCCTAACAGAGTCTCATTCTGTTTGGTTCCCCCACAACACCTACCATTCCCAGGATGTGAGAATTGAAGGATCCAGGCAGTTATACATCCCATGTTCATAAACCAAGCAGGCCGGGGAAGGGGTTCAGGCCAAGAGCAGAGAAGAACTACATTTTGAAGGGAGGTTTGGCCGTGTCATAGGAGACCATAAACAGCCTTTCTAGGGATATGCCTTTCTAAGTATCCAGTGGATAAAGGCTAGTCACTGGGAAATTTGATGAGAAGAATGCCTTAGCACTGCTGGTATTTTAAAATGACTTAAGAGTTTGGGGTATGCAGGATATTTATCATTTTTGTTTGAACAAAAAGTTCAAACTGGGTTTTGTAAAGATCAGAATTATATCAGCACATTTGTCTATAGCCATTAGTTTAATTTGATTTGAATGGGATAGGAAAATTTATACATAGAATTAGAACTATTAGAATGCAATGTTTGAATGACTGAAGACAGAGACTCCCAGGGGAATTTCAAACTCATGAAACTCCTCCCCACCCCATGTCCCAGAGGCCTCTGGCCTTTGTTCCTTCAGAAGAACATTGAGTTAGGAGAGCATCAGAATTCTGGACAGAAGCAAGTGAGTGCCTCTCTAAGGCGGTGCCTGAGGGCAGGAGCTTGGGAAAAGGCTGTGAAAGATTGAAGGGATGTGATTAGAAGGGCTGGTGGAGTAGCTCAAGTGGTAGAGCACCTGCTTAGCAAGTATTAGGCTCTGAGTTCAAATCCCAGTGCTGCCAAGAAACAAAAATAAAAAAATCTGATTAGATTTGGAAAAGAGAAGACACAAGAGGATTCAGAATAGGCCACCTTCAGTTGGACATAGTGAATTCAATGTTCTCTTTGCTACTTCTCTCTTTTTTTTTTATCACAGACTTGAGTTTGGGAGGTGTCCTTTTATTTCCTATTGATGATAAGGAGTCCAGAGACAAAGGGAAGGATTTGGTAAGTAAAAAATCCACATTACTTTTCAGCAGTGAAGCTTGGGTCACATCAACTTCTCTTGAAACCTCTCCTACCCCCACCTACTGTACTAATACAGTAGTTTGCCAGGATCGCCATGACAGAGCATCACAGACTGAGTAACACAAACCATAGAAATAAATTTTCTCACAGTGCTGGAGGCTACAGGACCAAGATCAGAGAGTCAGCAAGTGTGGTTGCTCCTGAGGCCTCTCTTCTTGACTTGTAGATGCCTATCTTTCTGTGTGTCCAAATTTCCTCTTCTTAAAAGTACATGAGTCAGGTGTGATTACAGCCCACACTAAAAACCTCATTTTTAACTTAATAATCTATTTAAAGACTGTTCACATACAGTCACTCTGAGTTACTGGGGGTTAGAGCTTCAACATATGAATTTTGGGAGAACATAATCTACCCCTTAACAAGAAGGAAGGTTGGGCAATACCCTTCACTTCACTTCTCTGTGTCCCAGGGCTAGATCCATCACAGCCCCCAGAGCACTGCCCTCTACTTCCTCTCTGTCCCTGGCCTAGAAAGCAGGAGACTCCATGTACAGGAATTCTTATTTGTTTTTTTATCCTTAGTGCCCACATGGCATTGTCTCATAGGAAATGCTTAAAGAACATTTACTGAATGAATAAGAAGGCATGATGCTCTGAGGGTTACATGAAATTCTGTATAAAAGATTGTGCTTTCTAGCCAGCAAAGGAGAAGAACCAATCTATCCCCATAGCTATTTATTTGCCTGTCACTTGGAATATCTGTAGGGAATTTTACTTACCACACCTACGTTGCTTTCTCCAGGGGCTTAATTCATATTTGAATTCTTCACACTTTAGGGTATTTAGAAAGTATATGTTTTAGTCTTTGGTTTTAACATATCTTTAAAAGAGGAAGAAAAGCTTATATAGAGTTACCACAAAATAAGATGAACCAATTATGAGAGGGCACAAAGTCATACATTTAATAGGACATTTAGTAGGATGCTGTTCAGGCAAAGCATCTAGTAGAAATGGAGCCAAGCTCTAGTGGCCCATGAAACACTGTGTCCCTTCTTTGAGGTCACTTGGGGCTGTTATGTGTTAGGTTCATTGTTTAACAGTTACTCTTCCTAGTTGGCGTTGGTTGTGGCTCAGCATCGCGATCGCTCCAATGTCCTATCTGGCATTAGGATGGCAGCCCTAGAAGAGGGCTAAAAAAGATATTCTTAGCAGCAAAGAAGAAGAAAGGTGAGCTTTCCCATCTGGAGGAGATGAATTTCTGTTTCTAGTCATGTGATATGGCTTTCGAAGGGAGGTGAGGAAGGTCAAGGTAGGTGAGGTTTGCATGGTGAAGGTAAGTCACACAGGTGATACCCTTATCATCTTGCATTTGTGTAGTCTCTTTGCCTTTGCAAATCAGTTTGCATCCAGTATCTCTGTGGACCATGAAATTTTATATAAAAGATTGTGCTTTCTAGCCAGCCATATAAGCAAAGGAGAGGAACCAATCCCCCTCTGCTATTTGCCTGTCACTTGGAATACTTGTAGGGAATTTTACTTACCACACCTACCTTGCTTTCTCCAAGGGCTTAATTCATATTTGAATTTTTCACACTTTAGAGTATTTAGAAAGTATATGTTTTGGTCTTTGGTTTTAATATATCTTTAAAAGAGGAAGAAAAGCCTATTTAGAGTTACAACAAAATAAGATGGACCAATTATGAGAGGACAATGTTACTGGATATTTTTGATCATGATTTTAAGACAAGGAATCAGACAACTAGATGAAGGGTTGAGAAATGTGATTAATTGTATCTCTTAGAGAATCATAGTCCACCATAACAGTAGTTCTATGCCAAAAAGCATGGATTGTTTCTAAACCCAGTATGTCTCAGTGTTTGTCAAATGGTTTGGCTTATTATAGACTCTGCTTGACTATGAGTCTGCCATCAATCATATTCTATTTTTGTTGTATCCCCAGCCTGTGGGTCCTTGTGTTCAACGGAATAACTTAGTTTTTCCTTATCACAGTCCTTTCCCAGAATATTTTTGACATGGTAATTGTGTACTTCAAATATTTTTTACCCATCAATCATCTTTTGATGAGTGAAGGCATCATGATCTATTCTTTTCTTTTTAATAGCAAGCGTTCATCTTCCACGCATTGGACATGCCATGAAGGGTTTTAACTGGTATGGTACTGAACGACTTATTCGGAAACATTTGGCTGCGAGAGGCATCCCAACCTACATGTATTCTTTTGTAGTCTTAATAGTATGTTCTCTCCAATTCTAGAGGAATCATGTGTTATGTTTCTTGATATTGCTGATTAATCCAAGGCCTCATCCTTTCCTGCCATGTTCTTTACTCTGCCATCTTCAGTGAGACAAAAACTTAAGAAGCACTGTCTAACTTGTACATATCCTGTGTATACACCTAAGGAGATAAACCCACCTGAGTATTTCTGGATGCCAAGAGATAGATTTAAAGATATATGTAGGGAATGTTAATTGAACAACTGTATTTTGGTAAAATACTTAGGTTGCTTTTTTTTTTTTTCTTTTGGCAGTACTGGGGTTTGAACTCAGAGATTTGTGCTTGCTAGGCCACGCTTGACTACTTGAGCCATACTCCAAGCCCTTTTTGCTTTAGTTATTTTTGGAATAGGGTCTCATGTTTCTGTCCTGTCTCACCTAGAGAATGATCCTCTTATTTATGCTTCCAGTGTAGCTGGAATGACAGGTATGTGTCACCACACCCAGCTTTTTATTGGTTGAGATAGGGTCTCACTAACTGTTTGCCTGGGCTGGCCTTGAGTGCAATCCTCCAGATCTTTGCCTCCTGAGTAGCTAGGATTACATGTTGAGCCACTGTGCCCTACTTGTTCTGAATATTTTATTATCTCATCACTTCTCTAGAGATCCTTCAGATATATGGACTAAGGCCTAATTCTAAGTACTTCACTCTGTTCACTAAAATAAATGATTAATTTAAATACATGAACTATTTATTTTGAGATTTCTCTGATTTTTTTTTTTTTTTTTTCAGTTCTGGGGATGGAACATAGAGGGCCTGTCTCATGCTTAGCAAGTTCTGTGCCACTGAGCTGCACTCCTAACCCCTTTTTGGTATATTCTGAAGAGGCAGTATGAAATTCGTTCTGACCATTAAGTCATAGTCTACTTTAGGTAAACTATTATTTTCTCAATTTGCTGTGTAAATTAGCATTTTTGAGCCATTATATGGCATCCAAAGTCACTAGAAGAAACCAAGTTGACCCCTCCTTCCATATGTAATCATAGAAACTCCATTGTATTTACTTAGGTCTTTACTGAGGTTAGTTCAGCAGTGATACTCTTCAAGATACTTGAATCATAGCTGGGTGTGGTGGCTCATGCCCATGATCCTGCCTACAGGAAAGGCCATAAGTAGGAGGACTGTGGTCTGAAACCAGGCCCAGGCAAAAATGTGAGATCCTATCTGAACAATAACTAAAGCACAAACTCAAGTGGTAGGTACAGTGCCTGCCTATCAAATACAAGACACTGAGTTCAAACTCCAGTACTACCAAAAAAGCAAAAAAGAGAAAAGATACTTAAATGACTAAAAACTTAGTAGAAGTCATGTTTTATGTGCCTAAAACATTTAAGCAGATGACTCTGAAGAGTTTTAGTACAAGAGATAAGTAGCAGTGATGAGTCCTAACAATATTGGAAGTATTTATGGCACAGAAAAAAGAACTAAGACATACTCCTAGAATGGTGATTTCCATATTACTAAACTAGAGAACTAGCAGTTTTGGAAAAGTTGAATTTAACACTGTAAAATGTCTTCCTTGACCATCCTTATCAGATATTACTTTCCTAGAAGCAAGGCTGTTATCCTTCATTCACAGTCCTCATCTTCAACATAGCTGGTGCCTTAGCAAAATCTTCCCAGTGTTAGATCCAGTCTCTAGAAACCAGCTAGTAAGACACTTGCCCAGAGTGACTGTCGTACAGCATTTCAAGAAGGAGTCTGGACCTAGTGGATCTCTGAGACAGAAGGTTTTCTGAATTCTAATTTGTTCTCCTGGATGTGTTACTCTGATCTGGTACCTGTCATACAGCAATTCTCCACTTTTTTGGGAAAGTCCCTTGGCCTCAGTTTGCATGACTGCTTGTATAACAATAAATTTTCTGACTCTAGTAGTTTCATTGCTTTCTTTCCCCTATATCTAGTTTTCTTCCCCTCAAGAAGTCAGTCTTAATTTCTTTACAGAGAGCTACAGAAGCCTATCTGGATTAAGGAGATGTGAGAAGCAGTAGAACTGGGAAGCTCTAAGGAAAGGAAGCTCTTTACCAACTTATGCCTTTAAAAAGTGAGATTCTTATTTCTTTTTTTGGTGGGGGAGTGGTTTGGGGTTTTGTACTCAGGGCCTCATGCTTGCTAGGCAGGCATTCTACTACTTGAGCCACTCCACCAGCAAGAAGTAAGATTCTTGATCAGGACAAAGGAACATTTTTTAAATCCATTCACCTGTTGGTGGACATCTAGGTTGATTCTGTACATTGGCTATGGTGAATGGTGCTGCAGTGAACATGGGCATGCAGGAGCATGTAGGTTCTTAATAACCCTTAACCTCTTACTTGCATCCAAAATCTCTCCTATAACTCAAAACCCTGAAACCTGGCCTACTCCAGAGGTAGGCTGCTGTGCTTTTCAGGAGCAGCCAAAGTACAAAGTACAAATAGGTGAGGTATTAGCAAATGAAAGGTAAACTTGCATTTACCTTGTGAAAAGCTGTAGACCCTTCTTGAAAAACTACTCAGTTGTGATACCTGTGGAGTGGCTCAAGGTGTAGGGCCTGAGTTTAAATCACAGTGCTGTACTGCAAAAGATAAACAAACAAACAAAATACAGTTGCAAGGCTCAACAAAAACTCGATCAAATGGGAGAAAAAAAAAAACCAAAATTTTAAGATAGGTCTTTTAAAATATCCTATTCAGTCAAAAATGGAAAAAAATTAAAAATGAAGAGTGTTCAAGACCTTTGGAACGCCATTAAATGAACAGACATTTGTGTTTTTAGAATGCCTACAGGCAAGGAGATGCAGGCATAGAAAACCTATTTGATAAAATAATAATAAAAAATTCCAAGATCTAGGAAAATACATGGCTATTCATATACAGGAATCTTATGGTGCCACAAATAGACATGACCAGAAAAGATCTTTACCATGTCATATTATAGTCAAAACTGTCAAAAGTATAAGACAAACAATTTTAAAATCTGCAAGAAAAAAATGCCAGATCACATTTAAGGATAGTCCCATGAGACTAAAATCAGATTTCTTAACAGATACCTTACAGCCCAGGAGGTCATGGAAGGATGTATTCCAATTCCTGAAAGAAAATAATTGCCTACCAAGATTACTCTACTCAGTAAGGCTAACCTTTAGAAATGAAAAAGTAAAAACCTTCCAAGATAACAGGGAACTCATTACCACCTGACCAGCCATTCAAAAGATACTTAAAGGATACTACATCCAGATATGAAAGAAAGATAACTATCATTGTGACATCAAGTGAAAGTATAAATCCCATTACAAGAGTAGACAAAAGAGAAACAAAAAAAAGGACAAATATCAATGCAGTAAGCCATCAAGCCACAAAGATAAACAAGAAAGTAAAGAACATAGAATATTCAAAATACCTAGAAGAAAGTCAACAAAAAGATAGGAATAACTCCTTTCCTATCAGTAATAACCTCGAATGTAAATGGGCTTAAATTCTCTAATTAAATGATAGCATGACCAAATGGATTAAAAAAATAATAAAAATAAGCTTCCTACTAGAAACTCAGTTACCAATTAAAGACACATACACACACTGAAAATGATAGGATTGAGAACTACATTTCAAGCAAATGGAAACGTAAAGTGTGAAGTAGCTATACTTATATCTGACAAAAATAAATTTTAAGACAAAAACTGTAAGGAGAAACAAACAAGGTTGCTATATAATGACTAAGGGTTTGATTCAATAAAAAGATGTAGTGATTATAAATCTATATGCCCTTGATGTCAGAGCACCTGGTTTTATAAAAGATACTATTAAATCTAAAGTAACAGATAGACTCCAATAACAGAGGAAGGATTTCAAACCTCACTTTCATTAATGGGCGATCATCCAGACAAAAAAATCAATGATGAAACATCAGAGTTAAAACTATACTATAGAAAAGGTGGACTTAACAACATTTAGGGAATATTGCATCCAACAACTGCATAATACACATTCTTTTCATCAGCATATGAAACTTTGTCTAGAATAGGTCAAATATTAGAACTATCCTATTTCCTTTCTGATCACAATGGAATAAAACCAGAAGCCAACCACAAAAGAAAATTTAGAAATTATACAATTAATGGACACTAAACAACACAGTTTTGAATGAACAGTGAGTTGAAGTTAAAAGTAAAATTTTAAATTTCTTGAAATAAATGAAATGGAAACACAACATACCAAAACTTATAGTACACAGCAAAATCAGTACTAACAGGGAAATTTATAATAGTAAGAGCCTACATCAAAAAAAAAAAAGAAAGATTTCAAGTAAACAACCTAATGATTCACTTCATGAATCCAGAAAAGTAAAAACAAGCCAAATCCCAAATTAGTAAGAGGAAAGAAATAATAAAGATTAGAGCACATATAAATGAATAGAGACTAAAAAACAATTTAAAAAGATCAACAAAATAGAGTTTGTTCTTGAAAAGATTAAAAAATTTGATAAACCTTTAGCTAGTCATCATGTTAGGTGAAATAAGCCAGAAACAGAACAACAAGTACCACACGTTTCCTTTCATATGTGAAATCGGGTTAAAAAACAGTTCACTTGAAAGTAGAATAGTGATTACTACAGATTGGGAAAGCGAGGAGGGCAGTTGAGTTTGATTAATGCACCTTGTAATGTGTGTGTGTAAATATCACACTGAACCCCATTAATATGCACAAGTTATACAGTTATATTTTTAAAAAATAATTAAACTCATGTGTTCACTTAACTCTTGCCTAGATACTGAGGTATTTGAAAAAGATCATGTTTCATTTATTTTTCATATCAAAGCAATTTGTAGTCACTCAAATATTTTTGAGTTGAAATGCTATGGGAATGCCTAGCTATCAATTTGTGATAAGTATTAGACTTCCACCATAAATCATAACCTTGAGATGGCTGAACTGTTTAAATACAAAACTTGAGAATACAGACACTTGTCATCGGGGCATGTGACTAGCAACTGTTCTTTGTAGCTTCTCCATACCTCTCACAATGACTTTCAGGTGAAGATTCTCACCACAGTGAAAATAGATGGCCAATCAACCAAATGCCAGATTACAACAGGAAAACAATGTAACAAATCAATTCCAACAACATGTACTGGCCAATTTGAGTTAAACTGGCTTTTTATTTAATAGATTATTAGAAAAGCTATTCTCATCATTTACCAAGTAAGAGAACTTAAAACTTGTCTGCCACCTGAGTGCATTTTCCTGGATTTTAAAAAATGGTTTCTCCCCATCAACCTTTTACAATTATCTTGCTCACACATAATTTGATAGTAAGTTTTTTCAACTCATCTTGGGTGACTCTTTCCTAAGACACCAACTTTTTGTACACATTTTATCAGTTTATATAATATTTCTGGCATATAATGGTGGGAGCAGAGGTACTGGTACAAACTGTACAACCATACCACTTGCTAACATTAAAAAAACTTCCACAGCAGTTGTAAAACCTGAAGCAGTGCCTCCCTGGAGTTTATGTAGAACCACAAGTGAAATAAACATACTATATACCAGTGAAAGTTTGCAGTTTAGTTTATGAAACAAAAACTAATACAGACAGGGAGAAAATAGCCATTTCATTTTACACTTGCAAATATTAAGTATAATGAACAAAGAATATCTGGCTCTTCCAGGGATTCTATCCCAGAAGCATAGTATACTTGGCATATACTTGAAAGAAAGCCAACTGACATCTGTATTGTCACCAAGAAAAAATTTCACAAGTGTCAAACAGCACTATATGAGATGGCAAATTACTGCTCTTATTATAATAAAATAATTATATGGAAAATATATACCAGTGCTAACAGCAAGATATCAGACTTGGCAAGTGTTAACTTTTGACAAAGGAGAATTCAAGACAAAGCATCAAAGAAAGTTACCTCACTCTTACAAAAAGTATAAGACCAATGTAACTGTCATTAACTTTTTGTACCTACAACTATAGCTTTAAATATGTATATTATTATAAATTGAGATAATTGTCTCATTAACAAAATTAAAGGAGAAGATTATATTATCACGAAATATGCTGAAAATGACTTTAACAAACTTTAATAATCATTCGTAATTTTAAATACTGAGCAGGCACAATATTTAAAGGTAGGCTGCTCCTACCCTTAGACCGAAGGCTATTCACCCTGTGGATTCAGACTACACCAGTGGCCCAGGAGTTGAGCTGGAGCTCTTGAGCCTTGGTCCTGAGTCTGGGGTTTGCATCATTAGGCTATCTTAGTCTGAGGATTCTGACTTCTTAGATCAAGCAGCTGCTGGTTTCCCTGGCTTTCCAGCTTGTTGACCATTGTGGAAACGTTCAGCTTCTGTGATCATAGGAGTCAATCTTAACAAACACCCTTTTATGTAAATAAATATATTCTGTTGGTTCTAGTTCCCTGGAGGACCCTGAATGATATATGGTATTTTGTTATAATAGCCTGAATGAACCAAAACAGAATGTTCTAAACAAATGAACAAGTGTTCAAAAAGATCTCATGGTCAGACACTGATGGCTTATGCCTGTAATCACAGCTTCTCATGAGGCAGAGATCTGCAGGAATATGGTTCAAAGCCAACCCTGGGCAAATAATTATTGAGACCCTATCTTGAAAATACCCAACACATAAAAGGATTGGTGGAGTGGCTAAAGCAGTGAGAGCACCTGTCTAGCAAATGTGAGATTCTTGAGTTCAAACCCCAGTGCCACCAAAAAAAATTTTTTTAAAAATCAGATCTCATGATAAAGTATGTTGAAGTAGAAAGAATACACAAAAAAATTTCTCTCTCTCTCTCTCTCTCTCTCTCTCTCTCTCTCTCTCTCTGTCTCTGTCTCTTCCTCTTATCTCCCCATCACATACATGCATATTTTCCCTTTTTAAAATTATTATTCTACTGGGGGTATACTGTGGCATTTACAAAAATTCTTATATCAGAGTTGAATTCACCCCATCCATCATTCTCCTTTATCCCCTCTCTCTTCATTCAACAGGTCTCATTTTTCCATTTTCATTTAAGTACATAATACATAATATTTTCACCATATCCCATACATGCATATTTAAATGTACATGGACTGTGGTAGTCTCTGGAAATTAGCACATTATCAGTGCCAACTAAGGACATCGAAATAAGAGACATTTTGCATAGAAAATTCTAAGATTATT